ATGGTTTGAGGTCAGTTGGAGTTGAGCCTGGGACCTATCAGGGCCGACTGACATGATGTAGGCTGCCTTTTTCCCGGCTATGCATTATCTTTTTGGTAAGACCCCTTCAACGCAGGTTCATCTTAAGGTAAAATCTAACTGATGACAGGTTCGTGGTACCGTGGTGACGAGATTGCCCGGCGCGGAGGCATCTTCTACGTCGGCCTCTCCCTTGGCACGCTCACTGCAGGCTTGATCCAGGCTGGTGCATCAGCCCGACTAGACGGCGTGAACGGCCTTGCAGGCTGGCGCTGGATGTACATCATCTGCGCCCTCATCACTATCCCGATCGGCGTACTGGGCTACTTCGTGATCCCTGGCACACCGGAGCAACCCAACCGCCTGGTGTTGAAGAGAGAAAACATCGAGCTCAGCGTCGAGAGACTGAAGCGCGCAGGTCACGCATCTCATGGAAGATTCAAGTTTCCAGCTCTCAAGAAGATTATCCTATCGCCGCAGTTCTGGGGCATCGTCGTCGTGGATGTGCTCTTCTGGAACGCGGGTATCCACACCAGTTCCGGCAGCTTCTTGCTCTGGATCAAGAGTCTTGCGCGGTATTCTGCGGCCAAGGTGAACGAACTTGGTACCATCGCCCCGGCGTTGGGAATATTCTATACACTCTTTGTGTGCTTCGCTTCCGACCTCGTCATGGGTCCGGCTTGGGCGATTACGATGTCGATCACATGGAACAGCATCGGCCTGATCATTCTGACAATCTGGGACGTCCCCGAGCCGGCCAAGTGGTTCGCCTTCTCGACCATCTACTCTTCAGTCGCGATGTCGAGCGTTCTTCACGGTTGGGTGAATACGCAGTTGCGCGCATCACCCGCGGAAAGATCGTTCACCCTGGTGCTCATCAACGCCATCTCGCAATCGTCAACCGCGTGGACCCCGTTGCTGGTATTTCCCACGGTTGAGGCACCGCGGTACCGCAAAGGTTTCGCTTTCACACTCGGTTCCTCTATTTTGCTCATCATCGCGACGCACATTCTGAGGGTGTATGTCAAGAGACGAGAGTAAGTAGTCAGCGAAGCGCCAACATCTGATCATCAACTAACAACTTGAATAGTCCCCAAGTCGAGAACTCTACAGGTTTCCCTGACACTCATAGCGACGACGGGGCCACCGTAGAGGATGGAAAAAGACCACCTGTTGCGGTCAGTGGCAGGGATGATCGAAGCGACTAAAATATTTTCCCTGGAAAAAGATGTTGATCCTTGGAAGGCGTGGGGGTTTTGGTCGCACGGCATACGCCATTGAGGAGTATGATATTGAGGTTTCTGCGAAGTCATGGCTAAGAAGAATGACATGGAGCGCAAATATAGATTTTGTCCCGATGGTAGCCGATGAAAGTTTTGTTGTTTCCCTTTCAACAAAAATTTGGCTGGGAGTATGTCGCAGCTGGGAATGAACCATGGTCGTCGCTCTTGGTGAAGTCTTTCCCTTTAAGTCTTACCTGGGAAAGACTTTCAGTTCGTAGCCTGTCCTAAGGTCACCTCAAAATGCGCTCAGGGTCCCTCCCGTGTTTTTCACGATTATTCAACTTGCAAAGTCCTTGTCACGATGAGTCCACAGTCGGGTGATGCCGAAACCTAGGTGTCGGCTGTACCGTCAATAGCGGGGGCCTCCCGTCTTCTGCAGCTGGTCAGCTCATCAACCCATCAGACATAAGACGCTGAAGTGGAAATCGTCAACATTACCATACCTTATTAGCCGAGTGTTGATGGCAATTATCGTGACATCCAACGCAGTTGCGACCCGCTCATAGACGAGTCTCGCCCTGCGGTATCCCCGCCACAGCAAGGCAAGTGTCGGGATACCTCCGGCTTGCTAGATCAGATATCGCATGGCTCGCCAATTTAAACGGGTTTAACGCCCGTCAGGAACTAAAATAGCCGACCGAATACTGGGCTACAAACGTAACTGCTTTGAATCCGTTTGGTTTGTGGCCATGGCACCATCCACACCTGCAATCACGCCAGAGCCTCGCCCTGCATTTGGGGCCGTCGCAATTGGGGATTCTTGCAGATAATATCCCGCGCGAGTCCCACGCGGCATGCGACAACGGCGATGACGAAATGTGGGATTTTGATCCAGTTCCATGCATCGCGCGCCCTCCGGCCAAGGAAGCGACTTCAGGATCATGAAGAGATGATAAAGGCGCCTTCAAGCCCCGCGGGTTTGGGGACCGGGATGAGGACAGGACAGTTCTGTTGCCGATTGACGAGAGGTTGAACCAATGTCCGAATCACCGGAGAGAAAGCGATTGAAAATGACTTCAGTCCCGATTCACAGCGCAACCAACGGCGAGAATGGCGTCAAGGGTGAGGGTAAGAAGCAGATTTTGCTGAATGCCTTTGACATGTCCACCATTGGACACTTGTCACCCGGTCAATGGAAGGTGCGCGCAATTCATGAGAATTTTCGGGAATTGGATGGGCTGACGAGGATCACAGAACCCAGAAGACAAGTCGGCGACGAAGCGCGACCTCAACTACTGGATCGAACTCGCGAAACTCCTGGAGAGGGGCGGTATCAACTCGCTCTTCCTTGCCGACACCTACGGCGGATATGACACATACGAGGGCAGTCTTGACAACTGCATCCGCCGTGCGGCTCAATGGCCCATGACGGACCCCACAATCGTATGTCGACTCCTTGTGAAGGGGGAAGAGAGGTGCTGACCACCTCATAGCCCATTAGTGCCATGGCTGCTGTGACGAAGAACCTTTCGTTTGCAATCACTGCTTCGACCTCATTCGAGCCTCCATTCCTACTGGCGAAGAGATTCTCTACTCTCGATCACTTCACGAGAGGTCGCATTGGGTGGAACATTGTGACCTCGTGGAAGAAGGCAGCGTTCAAGGCCATTGGCTTGGACAGCCCGATCCCTCATGATGAGCGGTATGCGCAAGCGGACGAGTACTTGCGTGTTCTTTACAAGTATGTGTGGTCATCGGAGGTTACGGTGGTCGCTCAACTAACAGGAAAACTTCAGGCTGTGGGAGGGCTCATGGGCAGACGATGCTATCTCGCCGGATCCCGAGAACGACAGCTATGCCGACCCCGATAAGATCCGTACGATTCACCACCACGGAAAGTTTTTCGACCTCGATACCCGTCATATTGTCGACCCCTCGCCACAAAGAACTCCATTCCTCTTCCAAGCAGGTACTTCAGCGGCAGGCTCAGAGTTCGCAGCAACACATGCAGAGGGTATCTTCGTTTCCTCACACTCGCCCAAGCTTCTGAGACCTAAGGTCAAGGAGATCAGGGACAGGGCCGCAGCACTCGGCCGAGATCCCCAATCAGTCAAGTTCTTCGCAACCTTCACCCCAATCGTGGGTCGAACCGATGAGGAAGCCAAGGCCAAGCACGAAGAGCTCAAGAAGTACGCATCCGTTGTTGGAGGTCTTGTCCTGGTCAGCGGCTGGACGGGCATCGACCTCTCCAAGATCCCAGTCGACCAGGAGGTCACTGCGGCCGACTCATTGGAGGCGCACAAGGTGCGGAGTATCCTGGATGCGTTCACGACCACAAGCGAGCACGTCCCGAAGTGGACGCCTCGCGTGATTGCCGAGCGGGCGGCTATCGGTGGCCTCGGCCCGGTGTCGGTCGGTAGCCCGGAGAAGGTGGCGGACGAGATGGAGCACTGGATACGCGAGGGTGACTTAGATGGCTTCAACATCGGTTACGTCACTACGCCCGGCTCTTTTGAGGATGTTGTTGATCTCCTCATTCCCGAACTGCGACGTCGCGGTTTGTATCCTGAGGCGCCGGCTGAGGATGTGCAGCTTACGGCTAGAGAGAAGGTCTATGGGCAGGGCCAGAAGGGGCTGCGGAGCGACCACCCCGGATCGACGTACAAGTATGATGTTTACAAGGAAGAGAATGGGGGATCTGAGGGGTCAGCGGGTAGCTCTTGAGCCAAGCCTTTCGCCACAATAATCTCACATGCATTCCACGGTTAAAATGATGGCGACAAGCTTCCATTTGTTCACAGTGATATCATTGAAACTCGAGGTCGACTGCTTCCTAGTAGCCGACGGGGCTAAACACCAACTTTAAATTCACTCGATGACGGAACAGCGTGCGAGCCGCATCGTGACTATAAACTACCGACAAAAGACTCCTCGTCGCCACTGGCATGATTTGTCAAAGGCAGCATCAAAATTGAAGCTATCGCCAAATTTCCCTTCCAGGGTGGGGGCATAGAAGTGGGTGCTGAAACCTAGATGCACCCCACTCTTGAGATCGATATCATTACTCAACCAGATCCAAGGGTACCGGGAAGAAAGCTCCGTCAACCTATCCGTTTTGAAACCCGAGATATGAAAAAGCAGAGAAGGGGGACCATCGATGGGAAGATAGGTGAACTACTTCAAGAAGTTAGCGCAGCATGAATAAGAGACCAACCTTCAACGTTGTCTGGTATGAAAAGCTGTGTCCGACACGCCAGCGTCTCTGATCAACTCCTGTAGTGAGACCTACGCCTTTATTTTGTCTCGGAATATTACTTGATATGACCAAAATTTATCTTGAGGAGTTTTGGGAGCGTTTGAGCCGTGGTTTACGGTGGTTCACGCTTCACCACGCAGACGTTGTCATCCGTACATAGGTACTGCAGCATCAGATGCACAAATGCACTTCCCCGCGGTTAAGCAGCCAATCACCGAAGTATGCCCTGCATCTGAAGAATATATGATGTGTGCGACTTGGGTATGATCGTCTTAAGGCTAAAGATCCGAGACCTCAGCGGTCGGTGTTTGCTCCCACTCTTGTCCCCCACTCTTGAACCCACCCCACAAGCCTCAGTCTCAGTCGTCACGAGAATGCTGGTGTTGCACTGTCGGCCTCTATCTCTGACTCTTATCAGTTTCAAGATACTTAGACTTATCACATTCGGATAAACTTTCCGATCGTGGGGTTTCCCAACGACCATAGGCGGCACCCACGCTCTCTCAAGTTGACTCCGGCAAGTTCGGAGACTTGGCCGAGTTGCCCAGAATGCATTGTCCCACGCTGACTACATGGTCTTCCTCCGGCATATCCCCAGTGTTTGCATGCCGTTCCATGGTCAAGTGGACGCCGAACCAGACCTTGCCATCGAATCGCCTTGTCTTCGAAAGTGACACAAAAGGTTCGGCGCCCTTGACCCCTGTCTCAGGATCAACGCAGACCATGTGACATCTCTGGCAAGAACCGAGAACTCTGAAGCTTAACGCGCCTATAAGAATGTCCGACCAGTCATCTTCGGAATATGCGGACGCTTCCGGTGAAGATGCAATGACAATGTTCGCGCGAAACACATCCGGCGATACATCTCGGCCACCGCTGGCTCGAATTACGGCATTCAGAGCTTCGAGGCTGGATGTGGTGACTGCCAGTATGGGGCTTTCGTTGGAAAGAAGAATGGGGTGACCTTTAGTATTGTGTTGAGTAGTCCCCAGTGTCGTGCATGCGGGGGCCGGGGTGCCCTTCTGATCCCACGCGCTTCGAGGGCACATTTTCGGGAGCCGACGGACTTTACCTAGCCTCATAGCTGCTTTGTGGATCTTGGGCGAGCAACGAGCGAGGTCGCAAGGTACGCCAAGTGCATTGGAAAAGAACTCGGTGATGTGATGAGAGATATATCTTTGCACGTTAACATTCTCACCACATATTCTGGAGACCGTCCATTCAAGCAGACCTCGTGAATCAATCACGTCTGAGTCCTCCGCCAGGGGGATTGAGACAGAGTCTGGTGTGCCGTGAGGCGTGAAACCCAAGTAAACAACGCTCAAAGTCTCGTTTTTGAGATCGATCTTTGGCTGTAGCAAAGCCATGCGAGGGTATCTCTTCTGACTCAAAGCTCGGCCGGTGCCGCGATGCACGAGACACCATTCTCTATCCCACATGAGTCCTTCAGGCCGCACTTGCCAAGGTGTGTGTTGCGGGATATGAAAGCCTTTGCAGCTTTTGATTGGGTATACGATTACATCTTGAATGATGCCAGTGGTGACGTCTTGGCCGTACTGAATTTCATCTTGCATGGTCGTGATGTCGCTTCTGGTTACGTAGAACTCTTGAATGAAGTTGATGAGTCTGTCAACATCTGACTCTGTGCTCATCGCCCCCAGACTAGCTCGAATGACCCCCGTTGGTTGGCCATTGTTGAGATCGTTGTCATCTCCGCATCGAAAGCCGTCCGCGTAATTCTTCTTAATTTGGGCGGATGACAATCCGAGTATTTCAGACAACCCTCCGGGGTTGCAAACAGAGCCTGTTCGGAGGTGGAAGGTCTGCAGGCTCGCCAGTTTCTGAAAGTCGGCAAGAGAGATCCAGGAACCGTGCTCGTTCTTGAGATTAAACGCGACTATTGGCCCACATCCGTTATCATTGTGATGCTTTGGCTCGGTTGAATAAACTGCACACGCAGGCGTCCCGTTGCCATGTCGAAGTTCTCGCAGGCGGCGCTTTAATCTCTTGGATAGGTGAGAAGTATGTGTCGATATGTCGTTTATAGTGCCGAAGAGTCGGGAATGTGTATCCATAGCAGTGTTTAGAGCGAGTATGTTGTGTATAGAGAGAGTGCCGTCCTCGAGGAGTTGATGAATACTCCCTGTCTTTGGAGCGTGCCAAGCTTCCGGTCCACTGATAACTGAGTCCACCGTACCTCCACCGAAATACCTTCGTTCCATCAAAACGTCTGCACACTCTCGTTTGACGACCAAAGCCCCTACGTCCGGAAAGCCGAATATCTTGTAAAAGCTTAAGACCGTAAAGTCTGGTGCAGAATGATGATCAGAAAGGTTGAGCATAGAAGTTGAAACATAAGAAGCCACATCCAGCAACGTAACAATCCGCTTCCCGTCTTTCGATGTTCGTGCCAGGTTGCACCAGCTCAAGGGCAAGCGTCGACCGTCGAGGTTTGATTGGGCTGGAAATGCGAGAAGTGTTGGCCTATCAGCGCTATCATGACAGTCGCGGGAGTATTTATCCAGCCAATTGATCATTCCCTCGCTGTCGACACACATGCTATTTTTGGCTTCTTGTCTCACACCAACAAGACTGGTGTGACTCCATTGGTGGTAAACGTAGTCGAATCCTTCCGGTGTGCCTCGTAGCGCTTCGGCCACGAGCTTGATGCCAGCCGTCGCATTGGCAACAAAGACTACATCGAATCTGGCGGGGTCTGCGTTGAACATCTGAAGGACGCGAATGCGAATGTCCTCTATTCGTGAAGTGGACAGTTGAGAGGATGTGGATGTTGAATGAGGGTTACCAAAGAGGGTGCTTGACATTTCATTTGCAAATGAAGTCATGAGAGATTTCGCCGGAACAGTCATACCCGCATGGTCGAGGTAGACCTGATCTATGATTATATGTCAGCAAAGTTTGCCGTGAAAGCGCTGGGATTCATTCCCCCATCTTGCCCTACCTTTAAGCATGGGATACTCATCTTCGCGAATAGCCTCAATTCGCGCATTGTAGGTCGAATGGATTGACGGAAGTCCAGTGGTTACTAGATCGGATGCCATATCTTTCGTCTTCCGGTCAATAATATGATCCCGATGATTGCGCGAAATCAATCCCGGTTGAGATGTTTGTTTCTTTGTGGTGACTAGACCTTTTCAACTAAATAAGCCCGACGGCATTCCGAGGATCGGCTCCACGATTCTGTTCAAGGTCGTCCATCCGTCTGTACCCCGGAGGAGCTGTGTACCTCGAGATACTGTTCCAGGGAAGCGAGGGGCTAAGTCCAGTGTTACTGTTAGTCAATCTTTCTAGTGCTTGCCAAATCTAGAAGCGCTCGTAGCCTAGAGTGGGGGAGGTCCAGATCTTGACCCCCTTGTAAGCGCGCCCCCTCCTCGTATGCCCCCACTCTTCAACTTGTGTCCCTCCAGACCAAGCCGTTGACTAGTCTCGACGTCCTCTTTCAGACACTTGCATTGGGAACGGCTTCACGAAATTTAGCGTAAGTGGATATCTGGGGTGCCTCCGATAAGCTGGTCGGTTACACTGGTGTCTGGGCTGGAAATGTGAGCCACGGTAGTCGGAGGCCGATGCCGTGTGCCCCTCCTTTCGAGACGGCTCTTATCTTTGATAATGGCTTGCATTTACTTGGAACTTATTTCCTGAATGTGAACCGGTTTGCACTCGACCTCTCTGCAACGCGAGACTATTCACAATCATACCTAACATGGACCGTCTTCCCTCGCCGCCTCCATCGGATTCCGATAGCGACGACTGGCACACCAGCAAAACCGAGACCCTCTCATCCCTCATCAAGTCCACATACCAGACGTCAGTCTTGAAGTTCTTTGTCAATGGACGGCCAGTCACTGTTAAGAATCCCAACCCGGACTGGGTTCTCCTCGACTGGATCCGAGCTCAAGATGGCCTCAAGGGCACCAAACTGGGATGTGGTGAGGGTGGGTGCGGCGCCTGTACTGTAGTGCTACAGGTTGCAGAGGCAGATAGACAGATCAAGCATCTTGCCGTCAACGCATGCCTGTATCCGCTCATAGGTGTCGATGGCAAAAGTCTAATAACTATCGAGGGCCTTGGCAATGTCAACCATCCTCATCCGTTGCAGGAAAGAATCGCGAAAATGCAGTATGTTTGTTCATATGTTTACTGTTAGGAGCTGGCGCTCGAAACTTATGCTCCGGTTTGGACAAGAGCTGACGATTCCAGCGGCACACAATGTGGATTCTGCACACCGGGAATCGTAATGAGCCTCTACGCCTTGGTCCGAAACTCCTACCGCAATGGGAAATTCCACCTCACCCATTCCGACGTCGAGCTTCAAGGCCATCTCGACGGGAATCTCTGTAGATGTGTGAGTGCTGCCTTAAAACCGCATGGCATCCTAATAGGTCGCTGATAATAGGGCAGACCGGGTACAAACCCATATTCGAAGCCGCACGTACCTTTGTCACAGAGGATCTAAATGGTGTCCTGGCAAAGACCGACCAAGATGAAGACAATTTTGGACCAAGTCCGCCCTTATCAGAAGATGATGAAGATGGGTTTCTCAGTTCCGTGAATAAGCCTGGATCATGCGGTCGGCCAGGTGGATGTTGTCGAGACAATCCAAAACCCGCAGACATAAATAGCGTGGTTTCACAGCCTGAGCTTAGCCCTCCTACATCTGAAGACGACGAGGATATCAAGACTTTGCTGATCTCTAGCAAGGCCGGCTCATGTGGAAGACAAGGAGGATGCTGTCGAGATGGACCGAAGGAAAAGGCCAGTTCCAGTCTCCCAGTCGAGGAGGAGCCCTCCCCAAACATGATGGACACTCCCATATCCGCCCCCAGACCAAAGGAGGAGCCTATCACCTCCAATCAGCCAGATGAAATGGTCACCAAGCAGATACTGGTTCCATATGACCCGACAACCGAGCCGATATTCCCACCTTCACTCTGGAAATACCAACCACGACCCATCTGCTATGGCGATAACCGAAGACTTTGGTTCAAGCCCACAACTCTGGAGCAGCTACTACAACTTAAGGCCGTCTACCCAGCAGCGAAGATTGTGGGAGGTGCAAGTGAGACACAGATTGAGGTTCGCTTCAAGAAGTTGGCATACCAGGTCAACGTCTTTGCAGCAGATATCACAGAGCTCAACACCTTCCGGGAGCCTGTGCCCCGGACTCTAGCCGAGCTTAGTGCACTTGCTGAGATCTTCATACCCGGCAATCTCACTCTGAGCAAAGTCGAAGAACTTTGCAAAGACTTGTATGAAAAGCTTGGCCCCCGGGCCTTCGCCTTTGAGGCACTGCGGAAGCAGCTGCGCTACTTTGCTGGTCGTCAGATCCGCAATGTTGCGAGTCTTGCTGGCAGCTTGGCCACAGCCAGCCCCATCTCGGACTCAGCACCTGTGCTCCTGGCAGCGGGAGCAAAGGTCGTTGTGAGGTCGCACGCCAAAGGAACATTTGACATCCCTCTATCGTCTTGGTTCATCCGCTACCGCACTACTGCCCTGCCAGAAGATGGTGTCATAACTCAGATTGTTGTACCACTACCACCTGCGGGTGCGCGTGAGGTCACCAAAGCATACAAACAGGCCAAGAGGAAAGATGACGACATTGCTACTGTGACAGCGGGTCTGAGAGTCCGACTCGATGAAGACGGGTTTATTGAAGATTGTGCGTTCGCGTTCGGCGGCATGGCTCCCACGACTGTGATGGCGGAAAAGGCACGGCAAGCAGTTCTTGGAAAGCGCTGGGGCGAGGCTGCAACTCTCGAGGTCGCTACGGATGCACTCTTGGAACAATTCGACCTCGCATATGGTGTACCCGGTGGCATGGCGCAATACCGCAGAGGTGAGTATTTCTGTTATTCGGTAGATCAAGCTAACAAGTGCACAGTGTTGACAATCTCCATGTTCTTCCGGTTCTGGCATGAGGCTGTTCACGAACTGGGTCTGGCCAAAGTCAGTTCTGATCTCATTCAAGAGATCCATCGCGATATCTCGTCTGGCTACCGCGACAACTTCACTGCTTCCATGAAGAACCGAGGGACACACACTGTGGGAAGGCCGATTCCACATTTGTCTGCGCTGAAGCATTGCACAGGCGAAGCCGAGTACCTCGATGACATGCCTCGACAGCACAACGAATTATTTGGTGCATTGGTTCTAGCTAAGAGAGCACATGCCGAGTTGGTCAGTGTTGACTATACTGCGGCTTTGGAGATGCCTGGTGTTGTCGGATACATCGACAAGAATAGTCCTGCCAAGGGAACCAACATCTGGGGTGCCGTGGTGCACGATGAAGAGCTCTTTGCCGAGGATACCATCCGCTACTACGGACAGGTCATTGCTTTGATTTATGCGGAGACAGCTCTCCAGGCCAGGGCAGCCGCCGATCGTGTTGAAGTTGTCTACAAAGACCTTTCATCCATTATCACCATCGACGAAGCGATTAATGCCGAAAGCTTCTTCAAGCACGGAAAGCAACTACGAAAGGGCGATGCTGTCGAAGGCTCTCTAGAAGAAGCCTGGAGCAATTGTGACCACATTATTGAAGGAACCACAAAAATGGGCGGTCAAGAACACTTCTACCTCGAGACCAACGCAGCACTTGCCATCCCGCACATTGAGGACGGCTCCATGGAAGTATACTGCTCAACTCAAAACCTGATGGAGAACCAAGTCTTTGTCGCTCAGGTGTTGGGGCTCCCAATGAGTCGTGTGAACATGAGAGTCCGTCGCATGGGCGGAGCTTACGGCGGAAAGGAGTCTAGAAGCACGCCAATTGCGATGTACATCGCCCTCGCAGCTCGAAGCGCAAACCGGCCGGTGCGTATGATGCTCAACCGCGACGAAGACATGGCCATCACCGGCCAGCGACACCCGTTCCAATCACGCTGGAAAGTAGGCGTGAGCTCCCAGGGTAAGATTCAGGTCCTCGACATGGACGTATACAATAATGGAGGAGCATCACTTGACATGAGTGGCGCAGTTATGTGAGTAGATTGTGTTCATGCATATCGCCTATCGACTAAACAGTACTAGGGATCGTGCCTGCACCCACATAGACAATTGCTACTACATCCCACATGCTTGGATCCGAGGCTGGGTTTGCAAGACCAACACAGTCAGCAACACAGCTTTCCGCGGCTTTGGAGGTCCCCAGGGCATGTACATTTGCGAAAGCATGATGTACAAAATATCAGAAGCTCTTCATATTGATGTTGACGAGCTTCGCCGCCGTAACCTTTACGAGATCGGCCAGCGAACCCCATTCTTGCAAGAGATCACCGACGACTTCCACGTACCGACCATGCTGGACCAACTCACCGTCAAATCTGACTACGAGAAACGAAAGGCTTCAATTAGGGAGTTCAACTCTAAGCACCGATTCAAGAAACGGGGCATTTCGAAGATCCCAACCAAGTTTGGCCTCAGGTGAGTTTTCACTGATTTTGACTGATGGACCCAAGTGCTGACTGACTCATCTTAGTTTTGCCACGGCTGTTCACCTGAATCAAGCGGGAGCATACGTAAAGATATACGAAGACGGCTCGGTGCTCTTGCATCATGGTGGAACCGAGATGGGCCAGGGCCTTTATACGAAAATGGCCCAAGTTGCCGCCGAGGAGCTGGGTGTTAGTGTCGATGAGGTCTTTAACAAAGACTCCCAGACTGATCAAGTTGCGAATGCCTCTCCGACCGCCGCATCCTCCGGGAGTGACCTCAACGGTCAAGCTGTGAAAAACGCCTGCGATCAACTCAGAGAACGTCTCGCGCCATACCGAGAGAAATATGGGGCCGATGCCCCCATGTCGAAGATTGCACATGCTGCGTACACGGACAGAGTCAATTTGGCTGCAAACGGTTTTTGGAAGATGCCACGAATAGGATACGAATGGGGTAATTGGAAAGATCCTTTGCCCATGTAAGTCCTCGCTCCTCTGGTCGTGACAGGTAATCTTGGCTAATGCCCGAGGTGCAGGTATTACTACTGGACTCAGGGAGTGTAAGTCCATTAGTGTCATTTGAAGTGTTAGGTGTATGCTGATTAGCATTGTCTCAGTGCGATCAGTGAAGTTGAACTGGACACTTTGACAGGAGACTCGACGGTCCTTCGAACGGACATCATGATGGTAAGTGGCCCAGCTTCCCAACTACCGATGATCATATACTGAACTAGCACAGGACATTGGTCGCTCCATTAACCCAGCAATCGACTATGGTCAGATAGAGGGCGCATTTGTTCAAGGCCAAGGCTTATTCACCATGGAGGAGTCCCTGTGGACCAAGTCAGGAGAGCTCTTTACCAAAGGCCCGGGCACGTATAAGATTCCAGGTGAGCAACACATTTTGTTTTTCTCTGCGTGACTGGCCACCTTGCTCACAATGTTCTAGGATTCTCCGATATTCCTCAGCAGTTCAATGTCTCGACATTGCAACACGATTCGGAAGGAAATCCAATTAGCTGGAGCAAACTGCGTTCTATCCAGAGCAGTAAAGGAACGGGAGAGCCGCCGCTGTTCTTGGGATGCACGGTTTTCTTTGCGCTGAGAGAAGCTGTCAAGGCAGCTCGAGAGATGAACCACGTTAGGGAACCACTTGTGCTGAACTCACCAGCCACAGCAGAAAAGTTGCGTTTAGCGGTGGGAGATCCGCTGGTTCGGAGGGCTGCGGTCAAGGTGAAGGAAGGCGAGAAAGAGTGGTTCACCAGAATTGAGTCATAGTTTCGTACCTCAATTCATCATAGGCACTCGAGAGAATCATAGCCATCGTCCCAAGTCCCCATGGCGGAGGCATGTTGTTGAGCCAATCACCACGCCCGAGTACGCCTGAACGCATGAACCGAAGTTGGGCGAATACATCGGTAAACGGATTCAACGGTTCTGAGACATGCATATGCGCCATGAACCGAAAAGGATTCATTCAGATGGCGAACCTATGGACGATCCCCATAGCCGAGGATCTGTGGAGGGGCGAGGAGAGGTGATGCTTGTACCCTTGGCAGTCGGTCCGGTCTCCAGAGCGTCTTCAGCTGCGGGGTAAGTAGGTTGCCAGCTGAGTACCCGAAGTTTCACGGATCTCCGTTCAACGATGCACTTATACCTATACCTACCTCACCTTTACCAGTATCCTGCCAGTAAAACTCAAATATCAGTGCGGGGTACACCTTGTTATTTCCAAGCCAGTACTACACCAACGCCTAACATCATCCATCATGGCTGCTACCACGAATGGTGACCACTCTAAGACGCTGAGCTTCAGCGACCATTTTATCCAGATCATTAACGGGAAAGCTTCTAAGACGGAGAAGTCTCGAAATGGCATCAATCCAGCAAACCTGACTGCGAAAGCAGAGGTGCCTGTGGCGACCCGCGAGGATCTTGATCTTGCGGTCGCTGCGGCAAAAGATGCCTTCAAGACATGGTCTAAGGTTCCGTATGAAGACAGGAAGAAGGCTGTTCTGGCCTATGCAGATGCCGTCGACAGCTATCGCACTCAGTTTAGAGATCTCCTGATCTCTGAACAAGGAAAGCCTGTATGATACCAGCATGACCTTACTTTCGAAGTAGTCAACTGTTGGGCCAGGCTGACGCCAACTAGATTCCTCAAGCAGATGCCGAGACAGATGCTGCCATTAGCTGGATTCGAGGCATGGCTGGTATATCACTCCCAGAGGATGTTGTAGAGGACAATGATCATCGAACCATCATCACTCGGTGGACTCCTCTAGGTGTGGTCGGGGCCATTGTGCCTTGGAACTTCCCCCTCCTTCTTGCCACGGGCAAGATTGCGCCGGCGCTCCTAACCGGAAATGTCATCATCGTCAAGCCCTCGTAAGTACACTTACGCCAAGAAAGCCTTTGTCGTAGGCGCTGACGAACACGTAGACCATTCACTCCATACTGCGGGCTGAAGTTGGTTGAGTTGGCACAGCAATTCTTCCCGTCGGGTGTTGTACAGTCCTTGAGTGGAGATGATAACCTTGGTCCGTGGTTGACAAGTCACACGGGTATTGACAAGATCAGCTTCACTGGATCCACAACGACCGGAAAGCTAGTGATGCAGAGTGCAAGCAAAACTTTGAAGAGGGTCACTCTGGAATTGTAAGTTCCGACCCATAAAAAGTTTCAACCAGGTCAGGACTGACATTGACAGGGGAGGGAACGATCCCGCTATCGTGTTTCCAGACGTGGATGTTGACAAGGTCGCTGAAAAGGTGAGGCGATTCCTTTGCCCGTGCAATCTCCTAGCTAACGATGACAGGTTGCCTTCTTCGCTTTCCTCAATTCCGGCCAGGTATGTGTTAAGCCCTTCCCGTCTTCTCGTGATCCGCGCTGACTGCTCCATAAGATCTGCCTAAACCTCAAGCGTATATACGTGCATGAGTCTATTTTTGATCAATTCAAGGAAGCCTTGGTTAAACACGTAAAGGGGTACAACCTCGGAGATGGCTCGCAGCCAGGTGTCACTCATGGCCCCCTGCAAAACTCCATGCAGTATGAACGAGTCAAGACGTTCTTCTCGGACATTGAATCTCAGGGGTGGAAGGTTGCCGTGGGAGGCAACATTGAGAAGTCGCAAGGCTATTTCATTACCCCCACAATCATTGACCGTCCTCCTGAGAAGTCTCGTCTAGTTGTTGAAGAGCCCTTCGGTAAGCTCTTGAATTCATATATAGCCCTTTTCTACCCCACCTCTAATGATTTTCGAACAGGTCCTATTGTGCCTCTGCTATCATGGAGCAGCGAAGAGGAGGTGATTTCTCGGGCCAACGACACTTCGATGGGTCTTGGAGCATCTGTCTGGACAAATGATTTGAAGAAAGCAGCCGAAGTAGCCAAGCAGATCCAAGCAGGAAATGTCTGGATCAATACACACTTTGATCTGTCACCTCTCGCACCATTCGGGGGGCACAAAGAAAGTGGTATTGGAACCGAGTGGGGCGCGAACGGTCTGAAAGCTTTCTGCAATAATCAGACGCTTTTCCTGAACAAGCAAGTCGTCAGTTAGTGGCAAGAGATTTCAATATAATGCATGTACTTCTCTATCGAGAGATTCAATAAATTCATCCAGAATGTCCAGAGTGAAGTCGTATCCAATGATCTTTGGTTTTGCTGGATGTCGATGGTGTCTGCCAGCTTGGGTTGCTTGATGCACTCGGTCTGAAGTTTGCATCAAAATCCCCGCAACTTCTACATTACGGCGTCGAATAACAGTTTTCTGCTTTTGCAATCATGCGAACACGTCTAGCCATCTGGATGGGTGTGGGCATAGACGACACTGGGGAGGAAGACCAGGACGACGATGACAACAACGATAGGGACGAACACGGTAATAGATATACATCGGAAGATCATAGTAAGAAAATGAAGTAACATTCATATTTTCCTCAATTACGACCAAATCAGAATTGGTTTGATTGTAGTTCCATCCTCCATATCCTTCACAGCTAACTCAAAATCCTTCACCTTCATGGAAAGTCACATTAATATTAGAATTAGCGTGCAGGGCCCAGTACTTACATCGTACGTCTTTATAAGCTTCTCCAAGGGGAACCTTCCCTCATGGTACCATTGAATGAGCTGAGGTATATACTGGATGATGATTCAGCCAAATGTCCAAGTCTAACAGACACAAACTTACATCCTCGGGGTGTACCCCTCCTTCCATGCTGCCCAGCAACTGCTTGCCGCTCTGTATCGAGTCAGTTCAAAGCCTCGACTATCTGCACAGCACATTTGACTTACCACCATGTGTGGAACAAGAGGCAGATCCAAGGTTGCATCCATTGGCGCAACGCCTAGCAGAATCATTTTCCCTTGCTTCGCGGTGAACTCAAGCCCTTGTTTAATCAATGGCACAACCCCGGTGGCATCTACTGTGATGGTGCTTCCCGGTCCACTAGTGAGCTTCCAAATCTCTTCTGTCAGGGTGTTGGTGATGTTTGCGGTGTTGACGGTGTGGGTTGCTCCAAGCGACTGAGCGAGATCAAGTCGGCTAGGCACGCGGTCAATTCCGATGACGGTTCGACAGCCAATGATCTTTGCAGCCTGGAAGAAACTTCAGAATGATTTCAATATGAAAGAGACTGGAATTCAGGTTTCTACTAACCATCACTGCTGCAAGACCGACTCCACCAAGGCCAATGACAGCAACGGCGTCGTCTGGCTTTGCCGCAGCTAGTTTTGTAATAGTTCCGGCGCCAGTCTAAAGATCCCATGAGTCTTCTAGAACACTCAGATTTGGCATCGAACATACTTGTATGCCACAGCCCAGAGGCGCCAGCATTTTCAGCTCGTCTTTGCTGTTCACAAGGCGAGTGACGTTGACTATCGATGTTTGCTTCACTCGAGCCAAACGAGAGAAGCTTGACTGTCCAAAAAAGGAGCCGCCGATCGAAATCCTTCCAGTGCCCGAGTTTGAAAACGAAGTGGAGCATCCAGTGAAGTTGATTTCATTGAAACTTTCACAGTATCCTGGCGCGCCAAATTTGCAGTTGTGACATTGGGTACAGAAAGCAAACGACAAAAGAACTGCGTCTCCAGGTTTGACTTTTGAGACCTTGTTTCCAACCGATTTGACGTAGCCGGCACCTGTGATGTTGTTAGTTGAGCTCATACTGCAGTGCGATATTTGAAAAAGCCGTGCCTTCATGACCAACGATGCGAGGGTATGGAGGGACTGGAAAGCCCGGCGTCCCATCCGGCGCGGATGCACAACCTAGGTCTGTATGGCATATGCCAGTGGCGATTACTTCAACGACGGCCTCCTCGTCTTCGGGTCGCGTGAGTTCAACATCTTCGAGTCTCCACTGTCTCTTCCCCTTTTCAGGGGGGTAGGCAACAATGGCCTGCGTGGTTGCGTATGCTGACGCCATCATTCAATGAGACTGATTTGAGGTAAGTCTGGTGTGATCGGAATGCACATTGAAGTGTCATCCTATCTTTTCTCTCTATTATGTATGTCCAAAGGCTAAATGGCCCTCCAAATTGAAGGTAATTTCGGTCGCTAATCTCGATGTCAACACAATAGCTTTGCGCCATCTCAGAGCCAGCCCTCTGGCAGCTCTAATGCCGGACCGGCCTCCGACGTACCCAGGCCCAATACCGAGGTACTTCATATCAAAGCTGTTTCAAATGGTCTCCAAGCTCGTCGTGGTCGGGACTCGGTCCTATCCTTGCCACACCCCTCATCCCCCCACGACTGATTTCCCAGTCCAATGCAGTACCCCGCAAACCCCAGATCCCCCGCCCGCGAGTGCCGAACTATCTCTTTTGTCCACTGAAGTGTAACATTTACCGTGGCGCCACAGACGTCTGTTGCCATCGGAACTTTCTCGGGGACCCCAAGCAGGGCGGATAAGTAAAGTTCATCCCTCTTCCTGGGCTTCTTGAGAAAACAACCATTCAAACACCAGACCATATGCGATTATGACCCCTTCCACGATGACCACGGTATAGTCAACAGCTCGCTCCTCTAGTTCCATTCACTGACAGCAATACAGACAACGGAAACTACCAAGACCAATGGCATCAATCACTTAGATGTTGCGGAGCTGCCTTCGAAGATCGTGCCGAGTTCCAAGTGGGTCGATACTAGCGACTCCATTAAGGCAGATCCATCAACTAGTGTAAAGGCTTCTGATGGACCTGTCGGTGACTTTGGCTGGGGTCCATGGAAGATCCAAGGTACGTGACGAGCCATACAGAATTATGTTGGTAGAGACTGATCACATTCCTCTCCCAGATGTCTTGATTCCGCCTAGTGCCGGTCGAGGCATGATCAAGAAATACCATCAACGCAGAACTCTCTACCAGTACACTTTTCTCTCCCTCGCCGGACTTTGGTCATTCTACAATCTTGAGAATACATCGTACCGTGCCGCGGCGCTTGGCTTCCTCTTCCCGGGCGCGGGTTTCACGGCAGTCGCCAGCCCCACGGCAGTAGCAGCCTTCTTGCTTACGCTCGTTCTCATCCCGGTGTCTATATTCGTTTGGTTCGCCATGGGAGGCATAGCCTTTCCCATCGCACTATGGATCGGAACCAGCTTCATGGCTGGTCGTCTTGCCCAGGACACTTTGTTCGAACAGTCCGCCGCTCTGTGGGCTCTCGGTTGCTTCAGTGGCATCACATGGTTGATGAACAATGCCAGCTCTCTCAATGCCGCTGGATACTCAAAGGCTCAAGAGAGGAACAAGTACCTTGTGCAGGCCGTTGAAGAGCAGATGGCCGACGCCGCACCTGCACCTCAGTCTGGCGATCGTGAGCTATCCCTCGAGACTCTTCGGCACGTGCAACATATGATCGAGCGAGGACTTAGTCCCCGTGACGACTTTAGCTTCCATGATGTCATCGATCAGTTCCAGACTGGAGCCATTCGGTATCAGCTGTACGGAACTATCGATGCCTTGAGTCTGTACCAGTGCCACTACGTCCCAGGCTTCCACGGCTATCTCTCCAAGGCATGTCAAAATGCCATCGAGAAGAGTCTCCAGAAGCGAATCATGTCGTGAGTAAATCACATCAATGACTTAAGAGTTTTGAGTGACAGTCCTTCAGATATTGGAAGTGGGAGTCCATCTTTGGAAGATTCACCCTCAGCGACTGGGATCCAATCAAGAAAGACAACATCGTTAGTTGTTCAACTCCTTACTTGGAGCAGTGCTAACATCATGTCAGATGGTCACTGGCTACTTGAGTGCTGCCATTGGTCTCTATGGCCAGGCATCGGGCGATCGACAGTACAACAAGAAGGATGCCCTCGAGTTTGTCATTGATGACGGAAAGCACTACAAGACCAATTATGAGGGCCTCGCAGATGCGCTATTCAATAACATGACTGAGAATCCTTACTGCCTGTATCCGTGCGAGCCGAACTGGACTTACTCACTTTGCAAGTGCGTCTATTCCCCCTAAGATTCAGGTATTAGAGCTGATTGAGAGTCTGCAGCTTGACTGGCATGGCTGGGCTTGTCATTTCTGACCGTCTCCTCGGTCGTGATCTAGGAGTCAAGCTCCGCAACAGGTTCGAAAGATCTCTTGAGGAAGAGTTCACTGAATGCGACGGCCGAATCCTGCCAATTCGAAGCGAGTTCACCGGCTTGACGGTATGTAACGAGATGGCTTCACCAGAAAGATGTGAACTAACGAGTTCTCCATGCAGCTCCCAGGTCTTTGCGGCACTCTTACCGACTGTATCAATGCGATGCTGCTGACTGCCTACCTTCCCCACTTGGCCCACCGAAACTGGGCTATGATCCGAAAGGAGTTCCTCAAGTATGACAAGAATGGTCAGCTTGAGGTTCGAAACCTTAAGGGCGCCGACAAGATGGACCCAGGGAACTACCGGGCTAGCGAGGGACCCCTCCGAGCGTTCATCGCTGCGACCGCGGCCGAGTTCGGCAACGAGAAGATCAGGAAGGAAGCATTGGAACAACTTGACAACACCTACTTCCCTGTCGAGGCAACCAAGTCGGGCTCTCTGAGGAACAAAGGCCTGTCAGCCACAACACAAGTCATTGCTTTGATGGCGCGTCTCGTTAAAAATCGTGACCTGGCCAATGCCACGCTACATGGCCCTCCTGAAAACGCCTTGAAGGGACCCTTACTCGAAGAGGCTCCTTTCCTCGATGTCCTAGTGGCGAAGGCGTACAGCAATGACGGAAAGCAACTTGATCTTGTGTTGTATAATGGTGCTGAGCCAGGGACCTTCGAGTTAGGCTTCGAAAGGCTCGACCCCGGCAAGGAGTACTCGATAAGCACGGGAGGATTGGTAAAAGCGAACAATAAGGGAAAGGCAATGGTGAAGGTCTCAGTCAAGGGTCGCACGCAAATCATTTTGAAGCCAACCGTCTAGACTGTTGCTGGTTTTCCGTTATATCGATTTTGCAATTTCTGGGTTTGCAACAGGAACATGAGTCCAGACTGCATCAGGTCGCCGCGCAATCGAATTGTTTTAGCAATGCACGGTATCTCGTAGTACTCCGTCTCCAAATGGTTCCCAAGCCCATGCGGACATGGATGTCAATGTAGTGCCTTTTTCATATTGCAATACACCGCTCCTACGCCCAACAGTCTTTGATTAGCTGAACGTTATTACAGCACTATGAGGCGATCACGGTTAGGAACTACAATGCACCCATTTCAGCTTTGTTTCTGTGATATTCCCTTTATTCGAACGTTCCACTAGGGTAGATTGTCTAGCTTGGTCCGCAGCCGAAAAGACTGGGCGGTGATGAAAATTGACGATGTAGACATCATCGCAGCCGCGAGAGAACTGCACATATGTCAGTTTGCGAATGTTTCCGGTTTTCCCGGGTAGCACTGCTTACGGTGTCATGACAAATCCGAATGGCTTTATCCAACCCACTGCCATCCCGAATGCAAGAAGGTTATATGCCGCGGTCCATCTTAAGTTGAGGGCAATTTGCTGCTTGGTAAGTTCCGCAATTTTGAATGCCAGACAAACCAGATCTATCCGCGAGTTGAGAATCATGACGGAGGCACCAGTGGTAGCCAACGCATTGTTGTGGTACACGGCAAAGCCAACGTCCGCAGCTGCAAGACTAGGAGCGTCGTTGAGTCCATCGCCGACCTGAGTCGTCAGTATTGCGTTCAAGCAAGCCTTCAGGATTAATCGTCACGGCTCACCATAGCTACAGCATTTCCGTTCTTTTTGGAGGCGTCGATGAAAGCTAGTTTGTCGGTCGGCGAGGCTTGTGATGCTAAGACGGGCATTCCGACGTGACCGGCGACCCTGTGAGCTTCGTCGGCCATATCGCCCGTAAGCTGCCGTCAGTCAGAGTGCATTCCATAATTCTGGAGTCGTCGAAGAACTACTCCTCACCAGAGAGCACTTGTATCCCGATGAGATCAGCGCTGCTACCGTGCTTTGCGCCTCTGTCTTGACCGTATCCTTTCTCATGGTCAGTCATCACATCATCACACATCACAGCAAGAAGTTCTTCCGACTCACCGAAACTAATATCTTTCCAGCATAGCAACCATCTACTCCAACGTGCACCTCAATTTTACCACTTCCCACAGCTTTGCCGTGGTCGGGAAGATCTTTGATACCAGCTCCTCTAAGGTATTGTGAGCTTCCCACGATGACGTGATGCCACTCATCTTTGGCAATGCGAACGTTTCCGGAAACACCTTGACCGGCCGAGCTGCAAATGTCGCGCGTCTCACCGTGAGCTTGGAAGCGCAGCCAATCTTCACCCAAAGATTTGACACCACTTGAGAAGATGTTCTTACCCACTGGATGACCAGTCACGTCATTGACCTCAGCTGCACAGATCAAGGTCCTAAGTGTGTTCTCCCTGCAGGCCCACTGGGGTGATGGTAAGAAGTCCGAGACAGTCAAATTGTCCCCGGTCAATGTCCCAGTCTTATCGAAAATGACGGAGTTGACCTTGACCAGCTTCTGTATCGTCGATGCGCCCCCAGTAATCAACAGTCCTCTTTTCTGTGCAGAATCTAAACGATGTCAGCTCAGAGAACGTAGCAATGGGCCAAGTGAGAGCGTACAGACCGCGGTTGCGACCGCGGATGGTATAGCAACGCCGAGAGCACATGGGCATGCGCTCATCAGGATAGTCATCGATCTAGCTACGGCGAATCGAATGTGCTGGTAGTTGGGGCAGAGTAGGTTCAGTCTAAAGACTTCGAGGATCGGAAGAACGATTGCGAAGAAGATGACAGCTGTGACAAAATACTTGATTATGTCGTCAAGCAGAGCGTCGCTATCCGACTTCGTTGCGGAAGAGTCTGCAACACTCTGCAAAAGCTTGGAATATAATGATTGGCCTTTCTCATTCTTGACAACACAGACTAGTCTTCCGTGGAGATTTCGCGTGCCGCCCATTATTATGTCGCCAACATCCCTTCGAACGGGAAGAGACTCCCCTGTCAGTATTGACTGGTTGACTAGAGATGATCCAGATGTGATGTAGCAGTCGCATGGTATTGTTGAAAATGGCTCCACGAATATTTCGTCGGATGGTTGAAGATATGTCGATGGAACATTCTGTACTAATATTAGCCAGGTGAATCAAACACAAAGATTGTGTCTCACTTCGCCAGAAGGACTGAGTCGGACAAATTCAATGTCTGTGAGGGGCTTGTAGATCTTGATCAAGTCTTTTGAAACTTGTCGTCGCGAAAGACACTCCAGGTATCTCCCACCCACAGCCGTCAGCGTCAAACCAGTGGAAGTAGCAAAGTACATGGTGGCAGCTCGAGGGCCCTGGATAAGTAGGTCGATGCAGGAGAACGAAATCCCCAAGAAAACAGCTAGAGCCACCAAGGTGTTCATAGTGGGACTTGCCCCCTTGATCCATCTCCAGCCATCAGCATGAATCCACGAAACATGTCGCCATTGGCAAGATACTGCGACTACCAGCGCTGCCACCTGCAAGGCCCAGAGAATTATAGTTTCCAGGGCAGATGTACCCCGACTTTGATATGACGCCATTTCGATCAGCTGAATAACTGCCGCATTCTTCCCAACATTGGCAAAGCTCGTCCACAGCATCTTTGACTCTCGTCTTGACTCAAGGAGGCCCATGATCTCCTTTGGGGAGCGAGGTCCAGGTTCTGCCCCATACCCAAGATCCCGCACAGCTTGTAGAATACCGTCGAGGTCCAAAGTCGAGTTTGTTCCAACAACAGTGGCTTGCTGTAGATGTAAAGATACTCTTACGTCCTTGACCCCGTCAAAAACCAAGATCGCTCTCTCGATGGTGCTTGAGCAAGCTGCACACGACATGCCAGACAGCGATAGAATGATCGCGTTTGAGTTGCAGCTTTTGACGGGTGTAGTCCGGGCATGGCCGCCCTCAGTTTCTGGCAGAGCTTCCGTGCCTGTGTCGTCATTATAGTGAATGTTGTCGTCCAAGTCGAAGAATTGACAAGCTTTGACCAGCTGCCCTATGCAAAATGCGGCAATGAAGCAACATGCCATGATTGACGACTGGGTAAAGACTGTTGATTGACTGACAGCTGGCCCATTGTAAACACCGCAGCTGGAACTTCCTATTCACTCACGTATACAATTTCAACCCCGACGGGCTTTCGCTGGTCGTAAGTGGAGGGATCTGCGGCGGGGCAGCAACCACCCCTCTCTTCGGTCCGGCTGTCCGAAGCAAGGGTTCAACGCGGGGAAGCAGTTAACCCCGCGGGGTTCGACCATGGATCTACCCTGTAACTACTCATTTGAGCACTCAGAAGATAGGATACAATCAATGTCTGTTCCTAATTCATCCGTGATGACTGTTTGAGGGGCGCAAAGAAGCGCACGCCGTCAACGATACGTCTTAGTATAGGATGGAACAATGAGTCCGTCTAGCCTGGGTCACGGGCGTCTTTAGGGAAAATCGTTATTTGGGTAGCCAAATGTGTCCAATTACTGACTCTCCACCGCGTATTGGTCGTCTGTTGCGAAAAGTGCGTCGATAGTAAAATGGGCACATGAAGCCTGCCTTCACTCAACTGAACATAGTACGATACCTTCGCCCACAGCATCTCCAACCTTCCACTTTGTCTCAAACTTTCCAGCTACATTTGCTCTGATATTGATCTCCATCTTCATACTCTCTATCACCATGACACTCTCTCCACTTATGACCTCCTCTCCCATTGCCTTTCCAATAGAGAGAACTTTGCAGGGCATCGGGGCTTTGATCTGAGCCTGTTGTTCAGTAGCGACCTGTGCATCTTTGCGTAGGCCTGAGAACAAGGATAACAGTGTATCACGGCGCAATTCCTTCCACTCTCCTACTTGAGGAATGTGGCATAGGACTGACTCGGTTTCATTCGGCATCCAGCCAGCTGAGCGCTGTCCTGAGTGAGGAAGAGAGCAAAACACCTGTCGTCTTCGGCCGTCCACAGAGAACGTCAACACCCACGATTGTGGGATACAAGCTCTCGAAGAAGAACCGCCGGTCTGGTGGGCTGGCTTGAGAGTGACATCCTCAATTTTGAAGGATGGCCATTTCCAAGCGTCACCACTCCGGAAGGCCTGACTGAGGATAGTGTATTTTGACGTAAGACGTTGGGCCGGAGACGAGATTGACGGGTCTTGCCCGACGGGGTCGTCAAGAGAAATTTTGTGGAGTTGCACACTATAGCTGTCACCTTCAAGGCCGTCGCATGGCTGACGGAGGCAGGCCTCGCATGAGATCACTGATTCTGAGGCTTTCGAATCCCGCATCGAAATTATCTCGCAGGCCTGATGAAAGGGATCAAACTTCTGGTTGTGAAAGCCACGACGAACTCCGCCAAACGGCCGTCGGCGAACACATTGACTCCGAGAACGTTTCTTGAGGGCGTCAAAAAGCAGACCGGAAATAGCTGACATGTATTTGGGCAGCTCTGGGTGGTATGGATTTCGAAGCAATTCGTCAAGATGGGTCGGGATGAAAGATGTCTGGTATGCTGTATCCTTGAATCCTGGGTGAAGGAGACAGCTCTGAAGGAACAGCTGATTCGTCTTGATTCCAACGCACGCGGTATTCGCCAGCTCCTTCGCGAGGATATCGATAGCCAAGGCTCTTGTAGGTGCCCACACCGCAATTTTGCAAATCATGGAGTCAAAGTAGATCGATATTGATGCCCCGCTTTGCATTGCCGTCTCGTAGCGCACTACAGAGCTGGCACCTCGATGCGGGTTTGCGGGCTTCCATAGGGCAACCGTATCGTGACTTGGCATGAATTCCCGATTGGGGTCCTCTGCGCAAAGTCTACACTCAATCGCATGCCCAGTCTGCGTCAAGTCAGATAGTTCAGGAACATCGGCAAGACGCCCAGCAGCGGCAACGAAGAGCTGCAAAGACACGAGATCAACACCGACGACTTCTTCTGTGATGGGGTGTTCAACTTGAAGGCGGGTGTTGACTTCCAAGAAATAAAACGTTTTAGTTGCAGTGTCGACCACGAACTCCACGGTTCCCGCCCCTTCGTATCCCAGAAGCTTCCCAATCTTGACGGCCGTGTCACTCATGCTTTTCTTGGTCTGTTCGTCGAGGAATTGACAAGGTGTTTCCTCGATGACTTTCTGGTTCCGACGTTGGATAGAGCAGTCGCGTTCAAAGAGAGATACGACGTTACCATGCTGGTCTCCAACGATCTGAATTTCGACGTGCTTGCTGCTCTCGATGAACCTTTCCAGAATGCAGTCGCTGGATCCAAAAGATCTCTGGGCTTCCGACTGTGCACGCTCCAGTTCTGACTGGAGCTGAGAAGCTTCGCGGACAACTCGCATACCCTTACCACCGCCTCCAGCAGAAGCCTTGAGCATGACAGGGAAGCCGATGCGAGCCGCCGCATCTTGGAGATCTTCCACATTCTGGCTAGACCCGGAGAATCCTGGAATCAGTGGCACTTCCGGTGCGTGAGTTCTCAAGTATTCTTTAGAGGTCCGCTTGTCGCCTAGTGTCGAGATTGTCTGACCAGTTGGCCCTACGAAGGTCAGCCCCGCGGCGCGAACACGGTCTGCAAAGTCAGCGTTCTCGCTCAGGTATCCATAGCCGGGATGGACGGCGTCGGCGTCGGCTTCTCGGGCGGTCTTAAGGAGGAGGTCGATGTTGAGAAAGGGGTTTTTGGTGTCGTGTTCGATGGATCCGATACAGATAGACTCATGTGCGTCTGCTACGTGTTGCGACAAGACATCTCTGCATTTCTTATTAGACGAGTGCGAATGCACCTAATTGCGTTGTAGGACACCTACTCCTGAGTGTACACTGCCACTGTCCGAACACCAAGCTTTCGACACGTTGAGATAATACGACAAGCAATCTCCCCACGGTTCGCAATCAGAAGTTTACGAATTTTGGATTGGCCGTCGGGAGTGAACGGGATCGTAGCTTCGAATAGTGGTGGTTTGTTGATGTTCGTCATCTTGAAGACTTGCGCAGTGTCGTTGAACAGGAAAGTGTGGAAACCCGGACGGAAGTTCTGCTACTACGTCTGTCCGTCATGACTTGATTACCGCATCACTTTTGATCAGTCGCGAATGCCGGTCCGTGTGACGTAGCTTGTAAATAGTGATCCTGCCTCGGGGATTCGGCACCAAACTGTTTACTTCCCGAGATCGAGGAATCCGATGATTTTCGACCCTGGGCCATCAGTAGCCATTTTGGATGGCCCGAGCACCGGAGCGCGGTCCGGGTGGAGACCTGCAGGTCCCTCGGCTCTTGCATGGCTTCCCGCTGGGGACCGGGGGTAAGCCGGGAATCGGAGACGTGGATTTTGTAGGCTGAACTTACAGAATGCACTGCTGTGGACATCAACATGAATGTTTTCAGCACGATGTCGAAAGATTGGTGCCCGTCATTTACCGCTAGTTAGAAATCGACCAGCAATTGGTATGCACCTTGCACGACATGTGGTTGGGTTTGAAGTTGAACCATTCATCTGTACGTCATTAAATGATAACCTTTATTAGGTGATCTAGAAAACAGTCTATTGCGTACTAAATCCTGGACAAAAACCTATGTGACTGGGTGTCCTTCTTGTTCGGCAGCTTTACCACTTCCAAGCACATCCCTAGCACATCGCGAGTGTCCCTCGGATCTATAACTCCGTCATCCACGAGAATGGAGCTAGTCGAATAACACTCCGAGTCTCGATACGCATCATCCCTCACCTTCTGTGCTTGAGCCTTGATCTGCTCTGTCGAAAGCTTACTGCCTCCGTTGGACTTGGACTTGATGGTCTCCATCACGCCTGCGAGCTGGTCTGGACCCATTACACTGCAACGCCCTGTTGGCCACGTGAAGAGAAATCTCGGTCGATAGGATCTTCCGCACATGGCGTAGTTACCGGCACCATAGGACGCTCCGAGAATGATGCTGATGTGTGGAACCGAAGAACAACTCACAGCTGATACGAGCTGCGCACCTGCCTTGATGATTCCGGCATGTTCTGCTTTCGTGCCAACCATAAACCCGGTTACGTTGTGGAGAAACACAATCGGAATAATCCTACAAAAAGACTTTGGTGAGCAGATTGTACTTCGTAAGAAGATGTAACATACCCCTGGTTGCACAGTCTGATGAATTGGGCTGCTTTCAGAGCCTCTTGTGGGTGAATCACAGGCGTCTGATTCGCGACAATACCAACCCGGAAACCTTCACGAGAATGGTGATTAGCGACAGGGAAGAAAGATACTCAATTTTCAAGGGGTACTTTGTTGGCTTACCGAGAATATCAGCCCAGGCAGTGAGCATGTTGACACCATAGCCTGGTTTGAAAATTGAAAGCCTCGAGTCATCAACAATGCGCAACAAAACCTCTCTCATGTCGAAGGGTTTGCGAATGTCGGTGTTCACGATCGATAGGAGGTCTCCAACTGGATATCGAGGAGGCAGTGGCTCTTCATGCATGCCTCGATGGTGGCTAGGGTCTACTTGGTTAAGTGTGGCAACCCATTCTCGCGCCTTCTGAATGGCATCAAATCTATGATCAGTCAATATAATCTCCTCTAAACCTTTCGCGTTGCGCAAATGTGCTCTTACTCATCAAGTGCCGTATGGTCCGCCAGGCCAGTCACTGTTCCATGAACCTTGGCCCCGCCGAGCTCCTCGGCAGTCACGGTTTCTGATGTCGCCATCTTAACAAGGGGTGGACCTCCCAGAAATACCTGTGCTTGGTTCTCAACGAAGATGGTGTAGTCCGAGAGAGCCGGGTGATATGCTCCACCGGCAGTTGAGGGGCCGAAAACCACAGCGCAGGATGGCTTCCCATGCTTAGAGCGGATGGCCAGATCGCGGAAAAGTTGTCCGCCTTTGTGAAATACCCTAAACTGCTGTGGCAGAAAGACGCCCGCCTGATATCGATTAGTCCATAGCGCTGAGTTTGCGGACTGCCGTTCGTGCGTACCGATTGCACCAGAGAAATTAACGGAAGATCATTCTCAAAGCCGACTTCCAAGATTCTGTTCACTTTATGCACTGAGCAAGGTGATTCTTAGCCGAGTCCAAACGAGCGGAAGAATCTTGACCAACCTGTCATCTCGTTCCAAGCTCCACCGCTCTGGGTTGGGATATGAGACATGACGAGGCATGGCCGTCCACTGTCCTGACGTTAATCATCATAAAACTGGCTGCTACTGGCCAGCTGAGTTACCTGACAAGACCAATGCCAGCAATGAGGTTGCCGCAAGAATTCGAGTCCGCATTACGAAACCCAGCAAAGGCCCCTAACTCCAAAAATGGCGACTCTGCATCCAGTAACAAGTTGATTCTATCTCGCGCTTTTTTCAGTAATCAGCGTATTGTCTTCCGATGTAGGTTGTGAGAATACCTACGTAACAATTGCCCTCGTCCTTGATGTCTAGCTGTCGACACATCATCGCCCTCAGAAGAGACTTGCCGAAGGTTGTGGTCGAATTCTGCAAGTACTTTCTGCCATTGAGATCGATTTTCTTGGAAGTTTGGCGCACCGAGATCGAGGACCGACTTCTCAACTGGGAACGGTTGTGCCATTTTGCCGTGAGCTCAAGCGCGCATGTAATGCAGCCTGCTTGTTGAGAATCGGTGCCTAGTATAGTTGATGATATCCTTGTTTTTTCTGGTGTTTGCGGTTGCAATATCGGTGGAATGGTCGTCGGCACTGTTGATGCGTAATGTTGGGCCGGCGCGGGGGTTAAATCCGGGGTTCGGTCCGTGGCCGATAGGCCGAGGCCGCCCCCAGCATTCATGCTCTGCCGGCCCCGCAAGCACTGGGTGCAGTCGCTCTGGTGTAAGAGCCAGAAGTATTTGGGTGTTGCCGCTAGACCATGTTCAGATGACATATCTTGACCTATCGTTCTGCGGCTGGAGAATTTCTCATTTTCAGAATTTCGTACTCCTTCAACTCGCACTATCACAATGTCAGACACCGCCGTGTCCTCCTCTTCCCCCAACATGCCCCTTCAACAGACACCATCTTTAGTGTTTGGGCCGAAGGATCCACCGCTTCTACAAAAGACGCTTGGGTCTGTTATTCAGGACCAAGCCAAGGCGTATGGTGATCGCACAGCCGTCGTTGTGCCCTGGCAGTCTACCCGCCTCACGTACAAGGACCTCGCAGACCGGAGCAAGATCACTGCTAAAGGCTTACTTGAACTTGGTTTGAAGCATGGGGACTGCGTGGGAATTATGGCAGGAAACTGCTACCAATACATCGAGCTGTTCCTGGGGGCGGCGCGTATCGGCTGCCCCTTCGTTGTTTTGCACAACACCTACTCCCCGGATGAGCTAAGTAGTGCCGTGTTGCACAGCGGTAAGTTCTTCTCTTCACTATCGCATCAGTTACTATGGTTTCTGACACCTTGAATAGACTGCAAGGCGGTTTTCATGGCTTCTCAGATCGGATCAAACTCCCTCTTGCCCCATATTCAAGCCCTGTCCGCTCTGCCGAAAGAGTCCAAGCTTGAGCACATCGTGTGTCTCGACACCGCCAGATTCCCAGGCCAAGGGAGTATGTGTCAGACTTATAGCACCTTCCTCAACGGTGGTCATTCGATCTTCATGAACGACTCAGCTTTGAGACGTGCGGAGCGAAAGGTTCGCCGCTCCGATACTCTCAATCTCCAATTCACTTCTGGTCAGATCCCTCCTTCCATATCTACATGCACGTTTTGTGCTAAACGAAACCGTTTCAGGAACAACTGGATCACCCAAAGCCGCAGTTTTGACTCATTTGTAAGAGCTGACTACTGAGAAGCGTTGATCTCACATCGCTAACTAGTCTCACAGCAATTTGATCAACGACGCTAGGTTCGTTGGCGATGCCATGAAACTCACCCACCAAGATGTCGTTTGCTGCCCCCCACCTTTATTCCACTGTTTCGGGCTGGTGATGGGCTTCCTAGCCGCCTTCTGCTACGGAAGCTCCATCATCTTTCCCTCCGACAGCTTCAATGCTCAAAAGACTATTGACGCCATCATCAACGAGAAGGCCACTGCACTCCTCGGAGTCCCGACAATGTTTATTGCGGAGCTAGAGGCTCTGAAGAAGTCCGGCCATCGCATCAGCACCGTACGCACCGGTCTTGCGGCAGGCTCTCCAGTGCCACCCCCGCTGATGGAGAATTTGCGCAAAGAGATGCAGATTGGCGGAATGCTGATTGCGTACGGAATGACGGAGACGAGCCCCGTCACCTTCATTACGTCCTTGGGCGATACCGATGACCGGATGTTCAACAGCCTTGGCAAGGTGCTTCCTCACACTAGCGCAAAGATCGTGGACACGAACGGTAATATCGTCCCACGAGGCACCCGCGGGGAAATTTGCACCAGCGGTTTTGCTTTACAGAAGGGATACTGGAAGGATGAGGAGAGAACACAAGAGGTGATGAGATCAGATGAGGATGGTACTATCTGGATGCACACCGGCGATGAGGGGTTCGTTGATGATGAAGGTTACGGTCACATCACCGGCCGCATCAAAGATTTGATCATTCGTGGTAAGTGACAAACACTCAATGGCAGTTCCCTGGCTAAACCCATGTTCAGGTGGTGAGAACATTTCACCCATCGAGATCGAAGCTCGCTTGCTATCTCATGCGGCTATTGGAGAGTCTTGCGTGGTGGGGCTCGATCACAATAAGTACGGGGAAGTTGTGGCTTGCTTCCTAAAATTAGCATCAGGCGCGACCAAGCCCTCTGATGAGGAGATCAGGATATGGGTCACGCAGCGATTGGGCCGATACAAGGCCCCCGAGTACATCTTCTGGCTTGGAAGCCCCGATGTTGGTAGCGAGCTGCCAAAGACCGGCAGCGGGAAGTATCAGAAGCATTTGGTAAGGGATCTCGGAAACGCATTGATGAAGCGATCTAGAGTACAGGCAAAGTTGTAAAGTAGCACAAATTCATTCAGAAGATCGATCTCAGTTGCATCATACCGCGCTCATGTTCATCTTGACAAACCATTGAAATATGCATATCGTCAAGTTATCTGTTGAAATCCTAATGACATTGTCAAACTCCCGTATTGCTACAAGCTTCCCCCAAAGTCCCTATTGTGGAAAGCTCATTCCGATGTGAAGATCAACCGCCGGCTGTTAGCTGCCAACAAGGAGCTAATCACAGACTGGTCTCCTTCTCCACGACTGCGTTAACCGAAAATGGTTCCTGGAAGCCGAATTGCCCAATCAGGACGGCCGGCCCTCGGCACCGGGAACGGGTACGTACCTAGGCCGGGAAGCGGTCCGGACCCCAAAGACCGGGGTAAGTAGTCGGCACCAGCGAGCCACCATAGCTAGCCCTACCCATCAAGTACCTCGTAATTGTCCCCTTTCTGGCCGCGTTATTCGCTCGCATGCCTGTTCGTCAAAGGAAGCAGCTTTTGGTTCCAGATGTCTGTTAGAATCGTCGAAGTTGGCCCCCGCGATGGCCTCCAAAACGTCAAAACCCCAATCAACACCGGCGACAAGCTAGCGCTAATCGAGAGGCTTCGACAAGCCGGTCTCCAAAACATAGAGATCACTTCAGTTGTGTCTCCGAAAGCGATCCCGCAACTTGCAGATTGCCGCCAAGTAATTTCATCGAATCTTATTAGAGGATGGTTACGATCACCGTCAGACCTAAGACTCCCCGTACTGGTGCCAAACCCCAAAGGGCTTCAGATCGCGCTGGATCACGGCGTCCGTGAAGTTGCCGTATTCGTTAGTGCGACTGAGGGATTCAGTCGCGCCAACCTCAACTGTAGCGTTGACGAGGGAATACAACGGGCACACCAGGTAGCAACAAAAGCGGTCTCGGGCGGTCTTGCTGTTAGAGGGCAAGTCAAAGTTCTCTACACATTTGTGGTCGTTTGTTCGCTGACTAACTATTTTTATGTGGCATCAGATACGTTTCATGCATATTTGCCGACCCATTCGACGGTCCGACGCCGTTAACCGCTGTCCACCGCGCTGTTAAAGCCTTGTTCGATATGGGATGCTACGAAGTCAGTCTCGGGGATACTCTGGGTGTGGGAACAGCACCAGATGTACGGCGGCTGATTGAATTCCTCACTCGCCAAGGGATTGACCCGTTAAGTCTAGCTGGACATTTCCACGATACATATGGGCAGGCTCTAGCAAACGTGTGGAAAGCATACGAATCTGGCGTACGCACGTTTGACAGTAGTGTTGGCGGTTTGGGAGGCTGTCCCTTCGCGCCGGGAGCCAAAGGCAACGTGGCAACGGAAGACGTCGTATATCTGTTCGAAAATGCAGGTGTGAACACTGGTGTCAATCTGCAGAAGCTTGCAGAAACTGGCGTTTGGATCTCCAAGGTGCTCTCAAAGTCGAATGATAGCAGAGCTGGGGCAGCTTTATCGGCGAAAAAGACATCCAGAGACACTACATCCTCCAAGGCATCCCCGGCGTCAACAGAAAAGATGGGTTGGTCACTTGTGCGAGAAACTGGGCGTCTCCTCGTGTACCGATCCAGCGCAACCGGCAACATCGTCCTCAACACGCCCCGCAACGGCAATACTCTCACGTCTCTGATGATCGAAGATTTCCAGGGAGCTTTCAGGACGTTTGAGAATGATCCTTCTATATCACGAATCGTAATCAGCGCGAATGGCAAATTCTTCTGTACCGGCATGGATCTCAGCCAGGCCGCCCTTGTTGTCGGCAAAGGAGGCAATGCAAGCTTGGACATTTTCAGACCACTGAAAAGCTTGTTCGAGCTGATTGACAACTCGAGTAAGGTAACGATTGCGTGTATCAACGGCCCTGCCTTTGGCGGTGGTATCGGGCTGGCATTTTCGTGCGACATCAGGGTTTGCCTTTCTTCGGCAACGTTCACTCTCTCGGAAGTCAAGCTGGGTCTCTGTCCTGCGGTGATATCCAGATACGTGATCCGCGAATGGGGCTTGGCACTTTCACGAGACGCAATGTTGACGGCGAGAGCGGTTTCGGCTTCTGAGCTCAAAGCCCAGGGAGCCGTATCGTTGCTCGCCGACACACCAGCTGAGCTGCGCAAGATGGTCGAACAGCTGATTCGCAATCTCCGTCACTCGTCACCTGGGGGCTCGAAGATGTCGAAGGAATTGGTAAGACTGGCATGGTCGCATGGTGGCACAACAGTCCAAGAAGAAGGAGTTGCAAAACTCTTTGAGTCAATGATGGCACCTGGTTGTGATGCTGTCCTTGGTATCGGGGAGTTCCAAAAACGAAACAAGGTGGACTGGGATGAATATGCGGCCAAGGCACCTCGCGCGAAGATTTGACACAAACATCTATAGAATGCACTCAAATTTGGTGTTCAAAGCCGTAGAAGATCCTCTCAAGATATTTCATCACTTTAATCGACGTGCCAATGAGACAGTGTACCCATTGATGTCATGGGATGGAGACCCTCGCGTTCTTCCGGTGGGGTTCCGAGCCAGCCGGGACGAGTCAGAAAAGTCTGACCAAATCGCCGGCTTGCATGCGTCAACTTGGCCTCCCAGCCCCAGATTGCTATTTCCAGCTAAATTTCTGGGGAAACGGCAGCGACGACAAGGATGGGACTAGATGCCCCCACGTGATCATCCCGACCTACCCCGCATCGAGCTCAGGACGACCGGATATTGCTGAAGCGCTCTCTCATCGGAGTTTCAACGTCACCGGTTTGATGCACGCAAGAAGGCTAGATTCATACTTCAGAACAGCATCACCGTTCACACAACCAAGGCATGTCTGAAGACATGACAGAGACAGGATGGATGACATCCGGCTCCCCTGAGCCGAGATCACCAGCGGCCATTGGGGGCATCAAGCGCATCCGCCAGGCCTGCACGACTTGCAGGTGTGTTTGGGGAGTCATTGACTTGGAAACACAATTGCTAATCATTATCTTTCCTTTTACAGGCAGAAGAAGATCAAATGCTCTGGGGACAAGCCGAGGTGTGGTAATTGTCGACGCAGCATGCAACGGTGTTCTTATGAACCATTTTCGGCGACGTCGTCGGCTCTGTCTGGAAGCGCATCAGCGGCATTCTTGGAGATGATGAATAATGTTGGAATGAAACGTTCTTTATATCTGTAGACTACTTAGACTAACTGCGTTACAGTCTGCGCTTTTCCAGCGAATTTCTGCGATCGAGAGCAAGTTGGCAGAATTAAGTGGTCAACCACCAAAGGAGTCGTGGTAGGGCTTCATCTCCATTCAAACTCACGGTACAATGAGACATCATGACGCTCATATACTTATTTTAGCACGTTCGCCGGCACCGAAACAAGTTTCGAAGCTGAACCACAGTTTTCAAATGATGATGCGGCAGACATCTTCAACCTGGAAGACCAGGTGTCAATATCTCCAAGCGGAAGCTCTCGGGACGCCCCTATAAATGATGTGTAAGTATTCTTTGGGATATTTGAAGACGAATCCTTGGGACAACTCTGTTAACCTACATTGTAGGGACCTGAGCAAGCTACCCCCGGATGCTGTCATGCAGTCCTTGATCGACACATATTTCACGCACTGCAATAACCAACCCTACGGCTACTTCCATGAAGCAAACTTTCGACAGAAGCTGGCCGAAAACTCCCTACCAAAATGCGTCGTGCTCGGGGTCCTGGCGTCATCCATGAGGTTTTCGGATCATGAGTTTTACGCTGGAGTAAGGGCTAAGGCAACCGAAGCCTACGCGAGGGAGGCCTGGCTGTCGGTGCTCACTGATCATATGACAGCAGAGGATTCACCTGATCTACACGTTGCCCAGGCGACAAACATTTTAGCTATCATTGATTTTACCTGTGAGTTGATCTCGTAACCTTGGTTTTACTTTTCATGGACCGACCAGCTAATACCAATTTTAGCGGGACGAACGAGCTCAGGGTGGCTGAAGATTGGCCTTGCCATTCGAATAGCACAGGATCTTCAGCTGATGCGAGAGCCTAGTGAAACGCTATCAATCATTGAACAGGAAGAAAGACGGAGGTGCTTTTGGTCGATATACCTCCTCGACAAACTCGTTTCTTGCGGCAAGGACCGCCACCTCGCTATCTCAGACGAAGACTGCAGTGTCCGGCTACCATCCGACGAGCCGACGTTCCGTCATGGCGGGTTGGAAAGGAATATAACTCTGCACCAGCTGCATGACTGGAACACGGATCCCTCTTCAGCTCTCGGAAACTTTCCCATCGCGATCTTGGCCGGCTCTGCTCTGGGGCGGTGTACACGAAACGTTCTTCACGACCGCGAAGTGGACGGTGTTCCACCATGGGACTCGAGGTCGGAGTACGCCTCCATCAATTCAATTCTGCTTCTAGTCGAGTTTCGTCTTCAGATGGACCAGATCTCTATCGACTCTATCGTTGAAACGAACAGGACAGAAGAAGGATCCATCGACCATCAAGTTGTGGGGCACGTCATATTTGCGCGTACGGTCTTCCACCTCTGCCACTGTCTCCTAAATCACCCATTCCTGTTACGCAGACGGCTACGTGGGCGGAATTGCCAGGCACCGTCAAGCTTCCTCCTTCTTGCTTTTCAACGAAGTTACGATCACGCGCGGAGTCTGATCAACGTTCTACATGATGCAGCAGCAGCCGGGTGCCATCTTGGTGCCTCGTTCTACGCCTACTCTGCGTGCTTAGCTGGCAGTACTTTGTCACTCAACATGCACGCCGAGAAACATCATGGAGGCCAGCGATCGGCGGAAATGCTACGCGCAACCCAGGAAAGCTTGAGCATCCTCGAGAAGATGGGCCAATTCTGGGACCATGCTTCCAAGATGGTAGGTCGACCTGATCCCCAAATAGCTTTATCTTGGTGTCTGACTGACATGACTTGGCAGCATCGTCGACTATTGGCTTTCAACAGCCACGCTCATCTCTTCACGTCGCTATTCAATGCCCACAAATCTCCTGATCTGGGTCCAGAACTGGAGGCGGCGCTGTGGTCTATGATTGACTACGGGTCCATGTGCCGCGATTCGAATCTCTCCGTGCCGAGTCCGACACTTGTCCTCCCGTCAGAGACACCCTTTTCAGTTCCGCTCGAGCTTGGTGGCGATCAGAGCCTAGACCTGGCAGATAGCCCCAGTATGGTGTTGTCGAATATTGACTCTACTGCGATGAGCTTTGATACTCCTAGCATTTCTTATCTTTTCGAGTTGGCATCTAGCGGCGGTTAAATAGCGGGATCCATCGTGGAGAATCTGTAGAATATGCCCGATCAACTGCCTGGTTTATATGAAGATTGTACACGATCATAGGTTGGCGGTTGGTTTGAGATTTACGTCTCAAGCGGGTTGAAGGGGCGACGGTGCCTATGCGAGAACAATCTTGCTAACCAAAGAAATGGCATATAAGAAAGCAAGTCTTTTCGCACCCAGTCATGATTACTCAACTCGCGCGCAACTGTGCGAATAAACTTCCGCTTGGGATTGATGAGAATGGGGTCAACATCTCGCGTAATCCCTTAATCTCAAGTCGCGATTCAGCTTCCAAATTTCAGTTCTGATAGTGAGCATCTGCAGACAGAAAGCATTGATTCGGTTGCAAAACTTGGTGAGATGCTCTTGATGGCCCGATTGTATCACTGCACAGCTCACAAAAGGGGCAACAGCTCTAGCCAGATACACCACGTCCGGAGCAATCCGAGCCTCACATCGTAAAGGGGGCGGGTCCGCTGTCGCATAGCCGGAGTGGTCCGTCGAATGGATGTGGCATCTCCAGGCAGCGACCGTAGGGCGCATCCGATGGACAGAGAGTCATCCAGCCAGCCAAGTAATCTCGTAAAACTATACGCGCCCTGTAGACGAATCTGTGCCGGCGGGAGTTGCCATTTTATGATGCGTAAAGAAGGTTACTGTACGTAAACGAATGAGACTCTGCGCCGCATAAAGAGTGGATAGGCGCCCAGATCTTCCGCACATTATCCCCTGAGCCCCGCCTTTGCAGGAGATTCCTCCAATCGCATCGAGTCAGCGATTCATCCGTGCGAACGGCTGTGGTCCGACGGGATAATTACCATGCAACTGGAACGATCATGGAAGCAGTATATTGCGGAGTCAAAAGTTCCTCAGACATGATAGCGCACGTTCCAATGACCACAATCGAGGTTTCGAATAGAGACCAACATGCCTCCCACACGGAAAAGTTTCAGACGCATTGTCCCCTCGACTGTGTATTTGCGCGGGATCAAGAGATCAGCCACGATCATATAAGGTTATGCTTATCCTCTTTGTGTTTGTGTAGCGTCGCTCAGTAGACTCTTCAATACCAACTCCAAACAGTCGTTTCCGAAGCACATCACGTCTATTTCCGGCACCATGAAGGGAATTCAAGCAACCGTCGGCGGCATGATTGCTGCACTTGCCAGCCTCGCCCAGGCAAACTCCGACATCGTCACCCTGTTCACCAACGGCAATGCGTACATCCAAGAGGCGAGCGCAACTCTCATCCTTCCCGAGCTGCCCAGCGCCATCTCCGGAGATGTCGCCATCTGGAGCGCCATCATGATGCAGAACGAGGCTTCCTTCCTCCAGGGCGTTACCTCAAACTCTCCGAGCGGGTATGGCGCAATCAACGTTAACGATTCTTTGGCGCATTGCTGACGATCAATTTTAGATCTTACTGCGAAGATGGAGGAAAGAACTGGTGCAACTTCGCGTACACCCTGGTCGGTGCGTATCATTATCTGAAGTTGCTCTCGGATGCGGCACTTGATCGACCGGCGCTGATCCGTGACTAGGCTCAAACCCCACCGTTGGCACCCCCGTGAAGGCTTCCGCAGGATCGACTGTTAGAACTCACTGTCAGTGAGGCCCCTCCTCGTTGTCGGCATATCGACTGACCACGACCATAGACAAACTGAACTCGTCGACCCAGCTCTGGGACCAGAACGTCTATGTCGACGGCAAGCTTGTTTCCACCGTGAACACCAGTATGTCCCTCCGATACAAGACTAACATTTGAGTCCGCCCAATACTAATCGCATCTGCACAGGCAAGGGACAGCACGGAAACATCTTCTACATCTCAATCGAGTGCGCTAGCGGCGGCTGCGCGAATCACCCTGCCCACAGTTTGTCTCACTCATCACGTCAATCAAAGCCCGAAGCTAACTCATTCATAGCCTGGAAGGATGTTTCTATTGTGCTTAGCGAGGCCGACAAGAGCTTCGGACACAGTGGAAGCTGGGAGCACGGCGCCACCGGTGGTGCCATGACCACTTCTGACGGCGGCAAGACCTGGAATATTGCTACCCTCAACATCCCGGCCCAGAAGGCCGAGTAAAGGGACGATCACTGGCATTATCATCACATTTCTTGACGTACATATTCTCAATCCAACAGTACATACCAGGCATCTGGCTCGGCATCGTGATTCCTGAGTGATTTCGTGCCCATAATGAGTAGTTTCACAACGTGCCTTGGCCGTTCCTTGAGGAACAAGTTACCATGATCAGACAGGGAGAGCTCTGTATATCATGTCAAGTCTGCAAGTGAAAACAATGGCTGGCTCTTGATGATTGATAGAGGATTCCCACCTACTCGATGTAATTGACGGTTTCAATCGTTTGGACGAGGTATCTCATTAGTACAGAAGGTACAGTACGACCCCTGAATGTTTGTAACTCCATCTAATTGAGTAGTTCCGTTTCTAAGACGGAGGCTAAATCAGCAGACGCTACGAAACTTACCACTTTACAGACATTCAGGGATTGTATTTTATTGGACGATCCCCTAGAGCATACAATGTTCATGGAACGCCCGAAGGCACGCTAAAATGGTCAAGACAAGATTCATCGCGGGTAGGGTCTTTGGTCTTGACTTTCGTCTGTCAGACGTACGATCGACGTCTAGCATCTTGCACGATATTCCCTCATCAAGTACTTCAACAGTCATGGTCATTCTAATGAGGATCAATTGGGAGAGATCAAGCCAATTGTAGGAGACCAACTAGGGTTCTGGTATTGTATTATATACGGGAAGCAACAATATGTACGTGTTGAAAAGGCTTTTATGCTAAATACTTGCCATGCTCAGACTCTGGAATCGGCATCGAACTCAGTTGAATCGATTCAACGGTCACACATGGACCATTTAGGAGACAGAGATGGAGATGGCGGAGGTCTTGAAGACGGCGTTGGTGCCAGAGAAGGGCTCGGTACCGGCCTGGAGTGAGGTGACGACGTTGGTGTTGGCGACACCCTGGCTGGAGACGAGGTAGTCGAAGAAGCCCTTCAGGTCACCGTTGAAGCTGCCAATGTTGCTGGGGGCAACGAAGGAGAAGACGGTGGTGTCGCCGTTGGGGCCCTTGAAGAGGCTCCAGGTGGTACCGGCGATCTTGGGGGAGGCGATCTTGGATCCCGTGCTGGAGATGGGGCCGGCACCGCCGTAGGAGCCGAGCCAGATCATGATCTCGTACTTGTTGTTGGCGCCGACGGAGGGGGCGAGCCACAGGTCGTAAGCGACATCAGCGACGAGGTTGGAGCCAGTGTAGCTGGAGGGTGCAGGTCAGTAAGATGATGGCAAAGAATGCTACGAAGGGAAAACTAACCTCCAGGTCCACTTGGAGGGGATGGACTTGATGGCAGAGAGCTGCTTGTTAACCTTCTCCAGAGCAACGTTGGAGTAGGACTTGACCTGGCCCTGACCGCCAGCCCAGGTCCAAGAGGTAGACCAAGAAACGGAGCCGGAGCTCAGGGAGTTGAAGGTGGTGCACTGAGAGCCGGAAGTGGCCTGGGCAGCACCCCAGTTGTTGTGGTAGACGGTGTAGGCGCCAGTGGCGAGGGAGCCGAAGGAGTCGCACCAGGTGGTGGCGCGCTTCTCGATGGTGGGCGTGGGGCTGGCCACGGCGGTGGCGGCCATGATGGCCGAGACGAGGTAAGAAGACAGCTGCATCGTGAATGGAAATCTGGAAAGAATGACTGATTGAACTAAAGCGAATGTGTGTGCAAGAAGAGAACGTGTGGTTTGTAAGGAGGATGGACCAACAATCGGATGCCAAGATCAGCTCCAACGGCGGGAGGGCGGCAGTTGATATACTCACAACATGCTAACGAACGTCAGGGTTTGGCAAACATTTTTCCTTCCAGAACGAAGACTGGTCCCTCCAATTACGGTGACGAATGCCAGATGTGACGTTAGTGTCCGGCCACAAGGTGAGCGTCTGTCGACGCTGGGCCCCGTGTCAACCGGGATGCCGGAGCTAAGCATCGGACGGAAAGCTTGTTGCGGGCTTAGCGGGTGCGCTGCTGGGTGCGAAAAGAATCAGGGGCAGTTTCACCTTAACAAGAGCTCGGGTTACCGATGTCCAACGCTGCCCACCACGCGGCGCTCTAGATGACTCCACCAATGGGGTAAGTGGGCTGGTTAATCTGCCCGTTACGTTCTTGTCAAGTAAATGTGGTGTTGCGCCAGCCAAAAGGGCTCTAGGGGAGAACTCAAAGCCGTGTCATCCCGGCCACAACACACCCAAAAGCAGAAGGTTTGCGACCGTCGAAATTGAGCTTTGACTCGTGTTCACCCGATTTTGGACGGCATTAATAACCCCCCAATCAATACATTGGAAAGCCGATATCGAATGTCGGTTGCGGAATCCCGTGTTCGGGGAGGGGGGAAACCGTTTGTTCCCAGGGCGTTCCATGGCTCAGCCTCGAAAAACATTTCGTCGTCTCTCGAGATCAGAAGAGCCTGAAAAGGAGGCTAGGGAGTTCCCATGGTTAGCCGATGTTGCCGTGTTGTTCCCTGTGGAATCACCAATAGTTCCCCACAGAATATATATGAAGCTAACTCCGTGTGCTGGATAGACCATTGCCACATGCAGTGCTACTTTATGTCAATCTGCCCCTACCGAATATCTTTGCTTTTGCTCAATGGCACTTAATATCTTCCTGCAAACTTCAGTCAGACAACGTCATTGCTAGGGGACCCCATCAAGTTTGTCTTCGCAGTCGATGACTGAACACTCCGACGGACACTTTTCTCGCCAAGCAACTCGATCGCTCTCGAGACGCCGTATTCAGTAAAAATCAATTTGGCGCTAGACTCGAGAATCGAAGTCATCTCCGTCGTCCAGCCCCGTGATGCTCACCGTTCACGAAGAGCTTCTGCTTCCCCACCGGATCGTTTGCCCCTGATGTATCCCTTGCAGCAAGGCGCAGACACCTATGCCGGCAATCGCTCACAATGCCGCGCCAAGATAGGTCTGGCCAGCCCGTCGGCGAACCTCCCCCAGATTACCAGGATGCGGTCCACGCGCCAAGCACGCCTTACGGCTTGTTTTGCTCCGCGCGCCGGGAAACAGCTGCAATGATGGCTGCAGAGCCATCGATACGGCCGCGACAGCCGTCTAGCCAAATCGCATTCTCGAATGCGTTGCGCTGCGTTTGAAACGCGATGATCGGTCTTCCTGCGAGATCAACTGCCGCGCCAACCGGTCTGCATTCCAGATGCACCTCGCCGCTTCAACGACGACTACTGGTGGACAATCCCCCCATCCAAAGCTTAGCCCGGCGGGTAGCCGTCACACTGAAATAAAGGGGGCTTAGCGAAGGGGCACCGAGTGGGCGGCGCTAAAGTGCCGAACCGGCCGGTCGCCGGCGACCGAGATTGCCGCTCCGGAGCGAGCCAGCAAAACACCCCAAGAACTTGCTCAAAAGGCCTGTCATAGGCCTGGTACACGAAAGAAACCATCGCATTCCCTTTGTCATCCAATTGCTCTTGGCCTGTCAATCTGTGTTCAAAAGGAAGACACCGCCAAATACATCTGGAACAAGACTCTCGACACGAATCCTCGTCGTCGTAAACATCAAAAAGTAATCTGACCGTGCCAGGGCTCGAACCTGGGACCTTCTCGGATCAGGTACACATGATGTGAACGAGAAATCTTAACCAACTAGAACACACAGCCGGATCTTGAAGCTATCCCGTTCATAGCCAGCTCAAGTGGATGTCGATGCTGCGCTGCATCGTAAGCGAGATCAGCGCTGATTGGGCACGATGAGGGACTTCCCGCGCCCTGTTGCGGCTTCGGGCAAGTCGGGCAACTCTTGTTTGACCGAAAGCTAAGTTGATGAAAAGACGCGGCACATACGATGTGTAGTCAACAGTCACATTAAGCTTAATCAGGTGACCGATTAAACATGCTGCCCAGTTGTCCCAATTCGTGTTCAAAAGGCCAGTTCTGGTTAGTTGCCGAAAGCAAAGATCACATTCCTCATTTCGCATATTGACACGCGCTCCACCAAATCACTGCTTTCAGCACTGTTTGACTCGTAATAACATCAAAACTTTTGATTTCCACGTGGTCCATGCTTGCGATGACTTGACGATAACTCATCCCTTGTCTTCCTCAGAAGTCTGTGCTTCTAGACCTGCTTTTTGTCGCTGTTCCCGCATTCGCTCTAGTATGCCCACGCTCAATGATGTGTCTAAGTCTTCAACTGTTTCCTTCATGGCGTCGGCGATCTTCTCCGCCGGATTGCATTCTGTATGCTTTTCGTAGCAAGAAACGTAGGACAAGACCCGCTTCACTGACTTGAGCAGGTCTGCAATACTTTCATCCTGCCTCATTTGAAGCTCTGTTGCCTTGGAGCCTCTAACGTAAATCAATCCCGCGAACAAGCTCCCCAGCACGACATAGTCGCACTTCTTGTTTTTGGTTATCGGTATGTCAGATATTCCTGCGCACATCCATTTGCCCTCGATCAAGCGCTTGATGAGTTGGTTGATGTGTGCTGGTAACTCTGATGCTAATTGGTTGCGCATTAAGCGGATGTTTTCTTGCCGAAGGTCAGTAGGTATGTCAGGAATCTAGCCTGAGATAACAATTTCGCTCTTACCTGAAATCACTGGAGAGCCTAACGCGTCATGAAGATAATCGTCCAAGCAAACCCCATCAGCAAGCACAACGTGCCCGCCTTCGTGCACCACGCATGTGAGGGTGATATCGGTGAGCGTCCTGACGTAAAGTCTCTCATCACCCAGGCCCCATGCAATGCATGCTAACATTGCGAGGCTGTGTCCATCTCTCGCGGATTCCAAGCTGTCGATAACGTCATACCAGTGCCCGATCCATGGCTGCAGAACTTGTTCCATTTCATACATGCTGGCGAGGCAAAGGGAGTTGTACATCTCTGAGAGAGATGGTCTCTTGGGTACCAAGTGGAATTTCGAGTGGATGATGTTGAGCAGAATGACCAGCCCATCCGATTTCTCGTGTGGGCATGCGAAAAGCGATGGCGTCCAATACCAATCTTCCTCTGCCGTTCCGGATCCGGTCTCCTCGGCAGTTTCAGCCAGAGTCCGTCTCCAGAACGGTGATGCTCTTTTCAGGGCATTCGAGCAGACCCGAAATGCTGGGCTTTCACCAGATTTTGGGTCGCATCCTACTCGAAGGATGAGGTCTCCGTAAGGGTCGACATGAACCTCATCTTCGTCGGCAAAGGCGTCTTCCAACGGTGTTCCCATCCACTCACTCTCCATGTCGGCGTCGAAATCCTCCCTGACCACAGCCGGGCGCAGTGCAAGTTGCGTGACGCCCGTCATGATGTCGTTAGCGTCGTCGTGATGTATAGAACATGAGCTGCGGAGGTTGTGATGAGGGCAGCATGGGGGGAAGCTGCAGCTGATGTAGGAAATGTCGTCGCGTACGAGCGCCGCTTAAGCGCCCCGGGCCAGGATCCCAGCTCGGGCGACGGTCACGGGGTTTCGAGCACGACACACCTAGAGTTCTGTGTTGCGAACCTTACGTCGACGCAACTCTGCCCACGGCAGTGCACCTGATGTGAGGAGAAACGCACGGAGGTGCCAGTTTTACGTAATGATACACGCTCAGCTACAAACAGACGGCGCTGGTTGGGTAGCGAGACTTGGCATCTCGTACGAAGAAACACCCAAAACCAAGGTTGTCAGTGACATGTTCAGCGATGGTCCTCGCTTGGCGACGCAGAATAACAGCATTTCGCGGGGAACGACCCGGACTCCGTTGGTCAGACGGGACGGTCCCGAAGGCTTGGCACTGCAGTGCGGAGGGCCTGGGCTTCTGCACTCCTACGTGCGAGTCAAGTGGAGTTTGCGTCCGAGCTACTGCGTAGCAATACGTCATGACACCCTACGGGATTTGAATGTTTGAAGGTTTTGTTTCGGAAAAGCTGTTGGGGTTCCTTATGTCCTCCATTCCGAGTTCGCTTAGTCGTGGTGGGTAATGGTGGCCCGTTGCATATAGTTCCGTGAAACGCGGAATGGACTTGACGTATGATTGTCTATACAGCAGACAGTTTAATCATGTAGAAACCGGGTTGTCAAGAGAAGTTCAACTAAAATAAACCACACGTTGACTATTCTTTTCTTTGGGTCTCTTGGTCTTCCAAGTCCGCCGCGGTTCAATAGCTGCGAGAAGGATGCATCTACGTCTGTAAACTCTGGGATAGTATAGGGTTCAAGATTACAGCTGATAGGTCTTAATTTGAAGTGACATAGTCAGATATTATTCAGATACGTCCCTGTCTTCTTCTGTCAAAAGGCAGTCATAAATGGGTTTGCTGTCTAGGCGGACTACTATTTAGGTATCAGCTATCTAGATTTCTATTCTCCTTTCATTGTTACCATCACTCTTACATTGCTACAGTCTCTGCGAAAACTAAGAAACACGTGTCTTCGCCTCTTCCAAACTACCACGTTGAAGATGGAATTCATATGGGTACCTATGATGAAGACACGCCTGGTCGCGTGAAAACTGCTCCTATGTTCAATTAAAGACTCTCTTGCCTGTCATGACTCGTCACCTTCTTCTTTTCCACAGACCAAATGCCCCAACGGTCGCTGCAGTCATCGTAGTGCCAACAAGAATGATTAAATCACGCCATTTCCCAGCACCATATCCGGGCTGAACTCCAGTATGGTCACTGTTCTGCAGGACAGCTGCAGCTATGTATCCCGAAGCAACTCCAATGACTCCACGGATGAAGAGAAGAATTCCAGACACGAACAATTCCTCGCTTGGGCGACTGGGGTCGTCAACAACTACTGCAGCCATATGACTGCGTAAGACCATAAAGCTGAAAGCAAATGCGCCAAATAGTATGGATGTGACGACCATGTTCCAGTAATACTTTCCGAGACCCCAAACGACAAATACGGCGAAACTGCTGACAAGGGTACTCATCAGCATTGGCACCAAAGGCCCGATCGCGTCCCTGTTGTCGATCTAAGTTAGCAGGTAGCTCATGTGTAAATGGGGTTGATCTCAAATAACTGACGTTAGGGCACCAATTGATATCTGGCCGATAATACCAAAAAGGGATAAGAATGTGACCAACAAGGCGCCCTTTTCAGGCGAAGCACCAAGATCAGTCGCAAAGCTGGGGAGATAGTTGGCAGGTAAGTTATTCGCCAGACTTTGAAGTGTCATGGAAACGACGAACAACCAGAATACTGGCTTCTTGGATATTCGCTTCATTGAGGACAACTGCTGAGACGCTGCCGCTACCTCTGCCTTTCTGTCACGTCGGGGGCGAACGCAGATGATGCCGAGGGAAATGATGATAGCTGTGAATACAGCCCATCCTATGAGGGTGATTCGACGACCAAAGCGCTTGAGAAGAAGAGAAAACACGGGCGAAAGACCTGCAGCAGCAATGTTGGGTGCGCCGAAGCTATGCTTGTCAATTGGTTATTGATCATAGTCGTATCCGATATTCAGCAACTCACAAGATGCCATTGGCAAGACCACGTCGTTTTAGAAACCATTCATCCACGAATGTTAGACATGGCGCAAATAGTAGGCCACTGGATAGACCATACATGAGTCCCTGAGTCATGATAACCTGGACTGCCTTTGAAGAGTTTAGCATGAACTACATCTGATGGTCACTGGCCTAGAGACGTACAGATGTGGAAAAGGCAGCACCGATGGAAGATGCCACCACCAGAACCATGCCACTCCACATCATATAAATCCTGTAAGAAGGGTACGTGAAGATTAATTTGAGAAGAAATGGCGGAAGGGTTTGAAGGAGGCCCTTTATCAGATAAGTCTTTGGGAAGCGATCCACGAATGTTGCCTGACTTACGACTACTAGTAGACCTGTGGAAGCTACTAACTGGTCTCCTTCGAAAGGAGGCGTCTTGAAGTAGTATTCTCGGAAAACACCTTGAGTAGCTCCAAAGCCTTTGACAGAAGGACGTCATGAATAGTCTGAAAATGCCGGAGGTTTGGGAAAAGAAGCACTGCTTACCCCAAGTAGCCATAGCGATGGCTGACACAGCGACGAGGCTCGTCCATGCCGCCCTCCCACGATCGCGGGGTGGGAGATCATCGTCGGAGAATAATCCCTCATTTTCTAGTGCAGCATTTTCAGCCGATACAAGTGCAATATTCACCACTTTGTCAGCTGGTCCCAGATCGGACTGGCCGTCTTTGGTGGATAGCATTGTAGTTGTCGATACGAGATTTTGAGTCCCGGCCCGATCGTTGAGCAACTCGGCAGAGGTATATCGTAACGAAGCTGACTGGATTTGAAAGACAAAGAAGGAACAAATGAAGCAAATTCGGGCAGTCAAAAAGCCAGACGTTGTACATCCTTTCCCGACCAACACGAAGGATGCGCCTTGCATGACTCCCATGCTTAGACGAACGCCCGAAGCGGCTGCTAAGACCGGCGCATTCCGAGACTATCAGTTTCCGTTGGTTCTCCCGCACCCTGAACGGACAGGGGATGAAGCGCCGGTAAGAATTTTCAGCGCGGAAGTCGGTACGTTGCTAGCTGATCGGCTATCGGCGTGTGGCAGTTGACGCCGGGTCTACATGCTGGTGTTGTTTTTGGCGAAGAAGAGTTCCAGGTGATTGGTAGGGTCGCTTATCTGATTTCCAAAAAGTCCTAATATCCTCACTTGTCACATTCAGGCTCTTGTACCTTGACAGCGTACTGTCTTATCAGTTTCAAGCTAAGCCTACCGCTGTGTGGCGCAGTTACTTTTGCCAATTCATACCATCAGAGGGCAAACTTCCAACGACTCACGTCGACTTATGACATCCTGATGGTATAGAAACTCTTCAAAGTCTTTGATGTTCACGGCGGCAACTGTACTGACTGCACTTACGGCACATCTGGATTTTATAGGAACCACGCTCATAGTACCTAATGATGATACTAGTGGCAGCAGGAGCTATAGTAGGGACGACAATGGTGTCAGGAAAATCAGGACTGGCAAAAGCAGTTTTGATAGTACCTAGGAATGCACAGAGAACAACATAAACTACCGAAGTTACTCTTGAAGTCACTAAAGAGTCGGGATTGATATACATTGCTACCCTAATAAGTGCTTTCTCTAAGGGATAATCAGGGATTTAAGTTCGCTGGACCATCATGAGTACAACCCTTTATAAACTCTAATTTCTAGGTTTCCCGCACGACGCCGCATGTCAGACGACACTGAGCGCGACGACGACAGCGGCTTTAAATACAATTGCACTAAAAGCTAGGTGGATTAAAGCCAGGCTAGAACGCCAGCACACTTAGGAAGGAGGTGAAAATCGAAGGTAGCTGCATCGTCATGTTGAGGAAGCTTCGTAGCCCACCTTATGAGGGCCCACAGTAGATAAATCCAGTAAGAGCACTTCGGCCGGTGCTTCGTCCAGTACGAAGATCGCAGTATACGTACCCAGGGGCCCGGAATAATTGCCTGCGCGTAGCTGCACTGTCGTGAACAGGAACGATCCATTACCTACCTACCTTACTGAGACTGAAAGATGCCATCTATGACTGAGTCAATGGCGGCGTATGCACAGGGACCAGAAGAACTACATTTTGCCCAATTATACCCAGCCAGAGGGTCCTCTGCATATGTATCATGCAACGCTTGCATATACACCGCTCTGCAACATTTCCGGTCGCAGGATCAGCCGACATTATTAGGCTGAAGTTCTCCCGCCTTTTCTTGTCTCCGTGCTCCACTTAGCTCCGACAACCAACCAGATTACATTTCAACGACCAACTCGCTATCATCATGATCTTGTCTAGTGAAGCTGTCATTGGGCTTTTTGGGCTTTTGGTTGCTGTTCCACCCGCTGTCTTCGCGTACCTTTAGTGGAAACACATTCATCAACCGCGACTTCCATATAACGTCCCACACCTACTTCCAGACCACCCCCACATCCAGACCACCCCAAAATACCTCATTAAAAATACACACTACTACTTCTAAACTTAAATAACTTCACTATTTTTAACTTAATTATTACTAGACTTTCTATAAAGTATAATAACTATATAATAGTTAATTATACTAAAGATAAAGTTTCCTAGGCACTTAAGGCTATTATAACTAATACTAGCCTATAAAAAGCTTTATTATAATATAGTATACTAAAAACTACTCTACTATATTAAATTCAAGAAGCTCAACTATAAGATATTACCTTTTCTAATCTATAAAGGCTTTCTCTAACCTAGGAAAGCTATCTAGCTAAATAGGTTCGAATTTAAGCTACCTTAAGCCTACTTCTAACCTATTAATAACTTAAGGACTTTACTAAACATATCCTATAGGTCTATAGAGACTCCTAGCCTCTTAAAAAGAACTAAGTACAGGCTTTTATTAAGAGAAACCTATCTATAAAGGTCTAAAGAAGTAGAGCAATTAATTCCTAGTATATTAATAGAGCTTTAACTAATATAATCAGGTAATAATTTAAATACCTCACTATACCTAAGATTATAGCTATTAAAGCCTCTAATTAATATAATATAGATAAAACTAGTATTCTAAAAAGTAGAGGATCAAATAAGCTTATTCTTAGATTATCAGAAACTTATTCTATCTATAAAAAACAGCCTAGATTGTATACTTAGATATCTCTAATTAAGTATATCTCTATAACTAGTAAGGTACTACCTCTACTTATTATATATAAAGGTAAGAATATCTAGTAGTAGTAGTTCCCTTTAGATCTAATACTATATAAATCCTAGAAGTTTATAGCTATAGAAAATAGGTAGACTTCAAACTTTATAGCTATTAAGTGGTTAATAGAGGTCTTTATCCTTTTAACCTAACTAGAGGACCCCTCAGAGGTTAGATTATTAATCTTAGATAGTTATAGAAGCTATAAGACTACTACTTTTATATATATATATTTTAAGAACAAAATATACTTATTATTCTTATTAGCACATATATTATATATCCTTTAGCTACTTAATTAGTTAGTTTTTAGGCCCCTTAAGGTAGTATATAAGAAAGAGCTTAGATTACTAGCTAAATAGGATATTAATATAGTTATAAGTAAGAGAAATTTCATTATATACTATAGTAAGGCGTATAAGGCAGCCCTAATAAGCAAGAATATTATTAGTAGCTAGAAATAGACTAGTTTATAACCTATTAGTATAGCTAGACCCCTTATAAACCCTCTACTACTTAAGAATATTTTAACCCCTACTAAACTAGCTAGTTAGGTCTATAAAAGGCTCTCTAATAGCAAGAAAAGCAAAAAATAGGTAGTAGATATATTAATAGTCCTTTAGTTAACCCCTAAAAAGAGGGATAAGCTTTAAGATCAGTTCAACCTATTTAGCAAGCTAGATAATAATAAGTATATATAGTACCTACTTTTTTAGAAAGTTTAGAAGGGCTTTAATAAGAAGGTATACTAATTAGTAGTAGCCTAGTAAAAGATTAAGGCACTACAGGTAGAGGTTAATACTAGTAAGGCTAGGAAACAGAAGAAGGTTAAAATAAGCCTAAATTTAAAGTTTACTAATATTAAGGCTATTTAGAAAGCTTAAATCGAGGCAGGCAAACTTAAAAGTAGCATAGATAAATCTAGCAAGTCTAAAAACCCTAGTAATAGCAAAAGTTGCATTATCGTAGTATTATAATACATATAAATATTAGTTAAAGTTAATATGTATAAATGTGAGGGCATCAAAAGTGGGTGGTCCGGATATGGGGGTGGTCCAGAAGTAGGTGTGGGACGTTAAGCTTTCGCGATGGAAAACTTACGAATAGATGTCGCACATCAACAACATTGATTACTGACTAAATCCTCCGCCAGATTACGTCGCTGGTAGAAATTCCCAGTACCAGCTCAACATCTTCATGGTCAACGCCCAGCATACATACGAGACCCATGACTTCGCTGGAAACAATCAACGCCTTCCATTTGGCTTTATTATTGAAACCTTCGAAGGTGAATCTCAGCCTTGATAAACAAAAGGAGATGAAGTCACGATGGTGTATGTTATAGGTTTTAGTTGGCTCGCCGATCGAATTAGAAATAGCAAGCGAGGATATTGATTTCACTATGGCAGGATTACGAAATAAGCCGGCGATGGCTTACTTCAATTTAATACCTAACACGGCATGTTTATTTTAGGATTCATAATGAAAGTCCAATTTTCCTCTACAAAATTCCGTCACGTCGGTTTGACGATAGCATACCTCCTTCATTAATTATGGAATAATTTGTGACTAGGCTGTCAGGGTGTCACATTGGGTCTTATTTCCGTTCCTTTACCGGTCCAAATCAAGCATAGCACCTTCCATCCTTTTGGAGGCCAAGCGGTACTGCCTCGTTCACAGTGCCGAAGGCCAAGTGTCCCATCTCCTCCGCTGGACTCACATCTCCAATACACACCCGCATGTCTCTAGTCCTCCTAACTTGCTCGCTTGCGTCTTCCACTGACCCGGAGTAGCACGGAGAAACGTTGACATATGGGCTGTCTCTGGAGAAGAAAGTCGGATGATCCAAAACATCTGGTCCTCGCCTCATAGAACCAAGCACGGCGGCAATAACCCCAGAAATAAGCATCGCCGTAGAGGCCACGAATAAGGTCAACATCCAACCGTCATTCACTCTCATGACCAAGAAATCAGGAGTCCTAGTTCCCGTGATGTTTTGGGTGATGATTGGTGCCGGCAAACTCGTTTCGCCGTTGCTCTGGAAGTGGAAGTTTCCTGTGATATTGTGTGAGGCGACGGACGCGAGCCAAAAGGTGTTTAGAAGTTGAGAGAACCTCTGTGAAAAGACGCGATCTCCAACAGGATATATGTCAGTACCATCCCAGGAGCTGATTCCCGACGCAGAGTATGGTGAGTCGGGCTCGGTGAAGTAGGTTTCAAGCGCCGAAGCAAAGGGTTTAAGCTGTCGGCCTTCTTGGAGATCCCATAGCGAGAGCCCCGATCGCACAAATGTGCTCATGAACCCATCAAACAGACCGGCTGTTCCATGACCGAGTTGGCCTTCAGGCGCCATATTGTTTAAGACCGTGCGTATGGTCATATCATCCGGCTTTTGCAACGGACGTACATGACGCGTTCCACATGTAGTCCCATGGCAGCCGACATCCACCTCGACGTAGGTGGTTCTCAGAACGCAGCTGGCGTTGGTTGTGAGCTCCTGAGTGGAGACGAAAGATGTAAAGACCAGTTCTAACGGATTCTGGTCAAAGGGCAAGGGGGGCCTATTAGTGGAGATCACGAGAGTTCGGTTGGTGCTGTATCTACCCGGACCTTCTTGCCTGTACGACGCCCACTCCGTGAAGTTCATGGGTGTCCCTCTCTGAAGTGAACAGTCGGCGTATATGTAAGAGGTCTCGAAGGCGAAAGAGTAGTTTGCTTTCGATGAAAGCCCGCCTAGAGTAGCCACAGGAATGCCTGCAATCGACGACCACACAGGACTCATGGCCGACTTTGAATCCAAGTGAAACCATCCGTCGTCATCCTGCCTGTTGTCGCTTTTCTTGTCGTCGTCCTGTGTTTGGCGCAGATTCTGGAATGCTTCTACCATCGGAATCTTAATGTTTCCAAATAGATCTTGCGGCTCAGCTTTGATATCTGCTGGAGTTCCCAACGCCGTAACGAAAGCGCTTTGAATAGAGGGGAGGAGACTGAAGCCGGCTGAGCTTTGGGGGCCTGAGTGTCTGAATGCAGACATGAACTCAAGGTTTTGGAAGAGCCAGGGCTCCGTGGCGGTTGAAGGTACCATTTCCATGACCCTTAAAGCTGCCTGGCCACCGAGAGGTGAGAGAACCCAGAGGATAATCAACAACGGCGTGAGTCTGTTTACGGCCCGGAGTGACATCGGTGTGGTGAAGGCGCTGAAGACTGTGCGACAGTTTAAAAGATACTCTAGACTGAGTACCGATATACCCTGTTCTAGTCTCCAGGCGGCCGCGGCTTTGAGGAAGCTGGCAGCTACGGCAGAGAATGCGATCGGGAATAGTGTTGGGCTGTAAATGGCTGCTGTCCTCAAGAGCGGGATTGGACTTTGATCGATGGGTCGTCCATTATTGACTACAACCAAGAATGCATACGTGATGAAAGCAACCGAAGGAAGGGTTAAAAGAGTGTCAAGTAGAAGGTGCCGTATGCCGTCCGAGGAGCTTCGCTTTCCGAGTATTCGACCACTGTTGTCTTCATTCTCAGTGTGTTTGTCTCGAACCTTGAGCTTTTCCATGAGATAGTCTGATGGATCATTTCCAGGGCGCGTCTCGTCAGATAAGCCCATGGTGTCGGCCGTGATAATGAGTTTGTTTGACTAGAATTTTGTTCTTCGACCTGTCGATAGCAACTGGGGAGATGACTTTGAAGAGCGAGGTCAGTTGAAGGGTCTCAAGTTGGGTGGGCATCTGGAGAGAAATACTGTTGGCGGTGAGGGTACCATGTCAACTCCAAACGTGATGGGCTGAGGCAGAAGCCCTGGTTGAGACCCCGTGAACCAACAAGATCTTGGCAGCAGCAAACATGCCTCTGTTGGACATGGAGGCCACACCCCAGGTCCCTTGCCATTGGCAGAAAACATGTCCGGCACCACAATTACGAGGTTCCGATCCCTCCGACAGCTTCTAATCCATCTTTTGATTGGTAACTCGCCGATTGTGCCTCCGGGCTGCATATTAAGCTGTTCATTCCAAACACATCATGCAGCCTTGACCTTTATTACTGGTGTTGGTAGCAATGTATGTTGGAGACAATGCGAGCATGTTTCTGCCATGCAGTGCATAGCCGCGCCGTTGATGGAAGTCATCTCCGACAGGCTGCAAGTTGCTGCCGGCGGACTCGACAGAAATGTCTTTCGCGCCGTCAGAACGCTTTGGATTCCGGGAGTCGTTCAGTTCCGGTAATGTTTAGCGAAGTCAAATTAGATGCATCACCAAACCCCATGTTGGAGACAGCTCGGGCATAACAGACAGCCTGAACTTATCGCAGTTCACAGCTCCCCGTGACCCACATCTCCGTAAATGACACGGGCTACATAATCCCGGCTGCTCCGGAGCTGCAGCTCCATCCCACCAGCCGTATCCGGCCTCCGAGTGGGTGCATCATCACATCAGCGGGGCCGAGAAAACCTTCACAGATACGCCTATCCCGATGACGGCTGTCGATCGCCAACTCTGTCCCCAACCCTGCTGCCGAATTTTTGACTTGACTCGGGATTTTCAGATATCATTCTGAGAAGGGAAACTACGACGAAGGCGATGCGATGTTGACGCGGAGCTTCGTCACGCTTATGTACAAATGCTCGAAGATCAGTAAACAACGTCCAAGCGACATTACCGCGACAGCTGAAAACCAAACCTAGAAGGCTTTGTTGACTGTCGATTGCCAAACTCACCCCGCGATCGCCGTTGACAGACTGGTACGGGAGTTTCCATTTCCGACCAGAGCCTCCTCCTCGATGACGACTTACATCCCGAACCGTCGCCCGCTAGCGCCGGCCTAGCCAACAACCGGCCGTCCAACCCCCCTGCGATGGGATTCCTCAACCACCGCTTAGCCCAAATAACAAGCCTCCTTCCGCCGAGCGGATCCAGCCCACCGGAATGATCTGGCGCGCTAGGGACACTTATGTGGGAACTGCTAATCCAACTACAGCCGGCCATTCCCCGCCCATGAACGCCATGCCAAGAGCGTCCAGCTGTTTTGCTGCTGGACGTCGTCAGTGGCACAATTAAAGCTTCGGGAAAGCAGTGCTCAGCTGAACGTGCTTGGCGCTCGAGTCTGCGTGGTCGAGCATGAGGCGTTCCGATGCGATGGCATTCGCGCCTCATCATGATCGCAAATGACGTCCTTCATCGCAGCCGTTGGGCATCTGGGGAATGCGATTCAGCGAAATTGGCGCCGGGCGCGATTTGAGCGAGTATCTGTGCACCGCATGTGGGAGAACAGCTGAGTCTAGTGCCAAGTGACGTTGCTGATCCGTGAAGTGGCTTGTGAACTTCAGGGTCTAGACTCACGGGGTAGAAATCACGAAGACATATATACCGACATCGAATCACCTCGAAAACCTCGTTTCTTTTTGCATCTCATCACAATCATCATAACAACTTATACATAAAACATCACATCAATAACACATTCATCATGGACAAGGCGAAGTCAGCAGTTTCCAACTTCATGTCTGGTGATGGTCACCACAAGACCACCGTCACCCAGGATGCCAGCCAAGCTATCACCGAGGAGCAGGTTCGCCCTCACCAGCACGAGAATGTTACGACAGCAGTCGACAAGGAGGTTCACCAGGACCACCACCACACCCACATCCAGCCCATCAAGCACAAGGAGACTCTGTGAGTTAAACTGGCTTTCCTCCACATGGCTTTGCTAATCGATTTGCAGTCCTGAGCAGCACCACCACAACATGGTCCCCACCCAGCACAAGACTTTCAACCACGGCAACGAGAGCGAAACCAGAGACACTCTTGACCGCGAGGCCGCGAAGTTCAAGAACACCTCTACTACTCACGAGACCACACACACCTCCCACACTGCCCCGGTCGTCACCGGCGAGCGTGTCCACCACCACGTTCACGAGCACATCCAGCCCGTAATCCAGAAGGAGACCATTCAGCCTCACGTCGTGCACACCACCGTGCCCATTCACGAGACTCACCACGCCAAGCCTATTCACCACGGCGCCACTACTCTTCCGGCAATGACTATCGAAGAGTTCAACAAGGGCAAGGACAAACTTACCGGCACCAACAAGATGAAGGAGTTTGACGGCTGCCCCGACAAGCACAACAAGATCTATGAGAGCACCGAGCACACTGGGCTCGCATCGCACCACAACAAGCACGGTCATGACCACCACCACCTTGGCCACCACAACGACCACCACAACGGTGGAAAGGTTGCCGCTGCTGGCGCCACTGCCGCCGCCGGCGGTGCCGCTGCCCACCACCACCACAACAAGGAGGAGAAGCGGGATGCTACTCACCCCGATGGCCTGAGAGAGCATGGCCTTGCCGGCCGCGAGGGTCATCACGACCACAACAGCCACAACAAGACCACTGCCGCCGCTGGAGCCGCCGCTGCTGCCGGTGCGGGCGCTGCCGCTCACAAGCACCACAACAACAAGGTCGACAACACGACCACTGGTACCCACGGCATCAACAACACCAACACTACGTCCAACACTACCAGCTTGCCCAACCGCGGCGTTGGTCAGGGCCAGGGTTTTGAGAATCAGCGTGCTGCCGACAGCGTTACTGCTGCTCAGACCGCCAACTCCAGAGCCAACAACGGCATTGCTGGCAACACCGCTACCAACAACGGCTTGACCAACAATGGCAATGGTTTGACCAACAACGGTACTACCCGCGACAATGGCCTGTCCAACAACGGCCTGTCCAAGAATGCTGCCACTCATGAGCGCGACAACATCGCCCACGGCCACACCACTGGCTCTGGTAAGAACAGCGGCACCAACACGGTGCAGAGTATCATGCACGGTACTCACACTTCTACAGGCAATGGCAGCAACTACACAACTGGCAATGGTTCCAGCCTCAATGGAACTTCTTCCTTGAACAAGAACGAGGTGAGTAATCATGTCTCCACACAATTCCTTCCTTCAACTAACATTCGATAGCCTCGCTCTGGTGATCACCACAGCCATACTACTGATACATCTTCTGAGAAGAAGGTGTCTCTGGTTGATAAGCTGAACCCGTTCAAGGATGCCGATGGTGACGGTCACAGGGGTATCATGTCCTAAATTTCCTTCCCCTATCTCAATGATCTATAGTATGACCGCAGCCTGAGCATGTATCTAGTTTGGAATAGTCTTAATGAACACTTATGAATGCTACTTTGGCAGTTTTGATCATTTGACACGGTCCTTGTTGAATGATATCTCTACCTTGATTATTATGACTATTCGCTTGTCTTTACCGGGGTGTCCGGTATCGTTTTCTCCAACCCCAAATCCTCTCGCCTTTTACTCATCTTCTCGATACTCATCTTGTTCAGCTTGATTGGCTTCGCCTTGGTTGTTTTGGCGAGCGCTGCTATTATTTTACCCCCGGGATTGCACTTCAGGTGCCCATCCAACACCGACGTCTTCTCAGCAATACTTTTAATCGAAGTCGACAACTTTGCAGCGCTTTCACCCTCGTCAACTGTAAGGGTCAAGGTGACTGATCCCCTCGCATTCGCCATAGCTCTCAGCAAGCTGCCAAGGATAACGTCGTTGCAGTTCGACTTTGCGTCCAAGTCGTTCGTTTTCGAGACACAGCACCCAGGGCCGTGTGCCAGTTCTCTGAGAACAGAGTTCAGGTGTAGCGGCAGTGCCTTGGATATTTCCTGTTGGTGTTTTCGCATGTATCCTGTCAAACATTAAGCATAAGCATTTCCTCGCATGAGCGTAAGTTTCCACGCCAGTTGCAGGCTTACCGAGCAGCCCTGGCGGCCCAATGGGATCAAACTCATCCAACACAACTCCGTCATGGGTAATCATCCGCCCCTCTCCATCAAGCGCACAGTTCATCACCAGCTCCTTCATCATCTTCCGCTGCAAGTCCACTTGCCCCAGCTCCCACGCAATATACGCCAACAGAGCCATGTCCCTCCCGTCCGTCGTCCCCGCAAAGCTCTCCGCGACCTCCAGCCACGCCGCCGCCCACGGCTTCAACGTCGCAATCATGTCGTACTTGTTCGCGAGCCGGAACACATCGTACAGCTCCTCCAAGCTCGGCTTATGCGGCACAAGCGGGAAGTTCGCATGCACAATATGCAGCAGAATCCCCAGCGCGACGGGGTTGTCCTCCGGCAGACTGACCTGCCACACCCCGAACGCCGGCTTCGACTCCTTGAACGGCCCAAAGAGCATCTTCTTCCACACGGGGCTGGACCTCCTCAGCGCGCTGGCGCACACGCGGAACGAGCGCTCCGCCAGGCCGGTCTGCGCGCCTGCTCGGAGGATGAGGTCGCCATCGGGGTCGACCTGCACTTCATCGGCAGGTGTAGCAACTGCTGTAATTGAGTGCGCGGGCGGGCCGCTTTCTGCGTCTGGCTGAGGTAGGTCGTGGATCACCAAGACGTCGCTGCTCATTGTGTACAAAAGAAAGCGTTCAATCGGGATCTGTGTAGTGAAGATTGCCGTTCTTAAAGAGTTCGTACGTCATATTGTCTTGAAGTTGGAGGGGAGGTTTGCGGTATCCAGTTACAGGGCCTTAGGCAATGACTCGAAAAAGTTGGCAAAGTTGGAATCTTAGGACTCAGAATAACTTCAAGGATCCAGGGACCATCCTCGGGTCGGTGCAACTCTCTTACATAAGCAGATCCATTTCACGAGGATTCATCTCAAATGAAACAGAATTGGCATTGAGTCGTCATGGACGATTGAGAAACATTGAAAAGAAGTGTCCGTGTAACTGAGCTGAAGAGAGATAAGTTGGGGGATAACTGCATTGTCTCGCCTGATTGGTTGGGCAGACAGTGTCACTTGAGAGAGCTCGCGCGGTGAGAGTCTGAAGGAGATGAGAAGATATGGTGTTCCCGTCGCCCTTTTTGACTTCGTTATGTTTGTCGTTCTCTTCGCCCTTGCTGCCTGTGTTGTCCTCGTCATTCTCATTTTTCTTATTGTCATTGTCCTCATCGTCCTCGTTGGCCGCGTTATCCCCGTCAATTTTATTATCAGCGTTATCCGTTGCGTTGCTATCCGCCCGGTCAGTGAAGTCTCTTCAGAAAATAATTGAATGAGACGGTTTTGAGAAGAATAATGAGATTGGTTTGTATTGGTGAATTTCTCCTTGTGAGACGTCTCGGGAGTCATTAAGTTGCATCAAAGTAGCCATTTCGAGCTTGAGCTTGAGATGAGCTGTGAGATTTGTAGAGCCCACCAAGATACTGCGACGACCATCTCAGACCGGCGTATCGCAGATCTTAGTTAAAATGTTGATCATAAATCATCAATCATCACTTGAAGACCAGGAGAATCGATGGCCTACAGAGAATGCTTTGGTTTAAAGGGTGACTGCTGGTCGGTCGTTGGTGAACTCGTCATAAAACGCTTTCGCGAGTATTTGCTTCTTTAAAAAGTCCCGGAAACAAACCATGAAAATGAGCGGAAGACTTCAAATACTCATGAAAAGTCCCCGCATCGGAAGATCCAGCAAAATCCGGGGTTTGCTCCATCCCGGCTCCATCGGCGTCACTGAGCGGGGGGCAGGTCTGGCGAATTCGACTTCATCTCCTCGACTACAGAATACCGTCCAAATACTCACCACAAGATGCATCTTAGCAGAACAAAATCTCGTCTTGCGTGATCGGCCCGTCTCACAGCCCTCAAACAACCGGAAGCGCAGCCGCACACATGCATTAATCAGCGATGCCTACATCGGCGCGGCACCGCTATCTCGATTGGCACAAATCCTGCGACATGTCGTGACAGGCGCGGAGTGGAGCGGCCGGGCCGGGGGTGGGAGGGAGGGCGCCCTTCGATCTTTGCATCGGTATCAATGGAAAACACCCCCGCGAAGATTGGCTCGGCGGGTAGTGCAGGTCCGGGAGTCGCAAAGGGCGCCGCCGCGCTTGGGGTTGCCGAGAATATTCCCGGCCGAGGGTGTTCTTCACCGTCTCCCGGCACGCAATCGAGACCATCCGGCAGTACCTGCGATGTAAAAGAAATGCGCGACTAGCTGATAATCCCGCTCTTAATTTAACCGCCCTTATAGAGTTTCGAGTGGAGGTTTTCGAATGATTTGGCACAATTCTGTAGCGCGAATGGTCGTTATCGCCGGGAAACCTTGGGGCCAACGAGGGGTGGTAGAATGGCGATGCAGCCATCTTGGAGAAGAATCACGCAATGCGGGACTGCGAGAGCACGTAATACCCCCGACTCCACGAACGCACCCAAATCCCCCTCCAAGGACGATCACTCCGAACGTCGGGCGGAAGGGGGCCTCGAGCGATAGAAAAAAAAAATGATGGCGAAGAGGGGGGCTCTTATCTGTTGCCGAAGAAAACGGCAACGGTTGTGTTGTTATTTCACAACCCCCTGAGATCAGGCTCGAACTCTCTCTCCCATTTCCTGCAACATCAATACACTGCAGATAATACCGTCCGGAACGAACTGTTGCCCACGGCGCACACTCGGACTGCATACAGGAGACTTCTTCATCCCATACCTGGACCAACTCGCCTAACCCCCCGATCCCCCCTTCTCGACCAATGATACCCTGAACAAGACGACGCCATGGCAGACATCCCGGATACGCAGACCGTCCTCATCCTCTATGCTGCAAAGCAGCCCTACGAGACGGCAGAAGGCTACGCGGTCCCCCAGCTCCAAGATGAGAGGGAAGTGTTGGTACAGACGGAGCACATCGGCCTGAACCCAATCGACTGGAAGGCACCGTGAGTCCTCCTCCAGCGATCCTCATGCACCCGCAGCAGCCACTGACCAACGCCAACAACAGAGACTTCAACTTCGCAATCCCCTCTCTCCCCTACATCTCCGGCCGCGAACTTGTCGGCCGCGTCGTCCGCCGCCACCCCTCCTCGACCTCCCGCCTCCAGCCCGGCGACCGCGTCCTCGTCATCTCCACAGACTACCGCGACCTCCGCAAGGCCGCCTACCAGCAGTACGTTGCCACCGCAGACTTCAACGCCGTCCGCCTGCCCCCCGCCGAGATCGTCTCCCCCGCCGCCGGCGCCACCCTCGGCGTCGCCTTCGTCGCTGCCGTGCTGTCCCTCGGCGTCTGCATGGGCGTCGACTTCTCCAGCGTGCTCGACGGCCCCGACCTGCTCTCCCTCGTCCGCTCCATCCCGCCGGACGCCCTCCCAGCCGACATCCGCGCAGAGTGCCTCTCCGGTATCCGGGACGGGGAGCGCGCTGTCGCGGGCGACTGGGTCGCCATCTGGGGCGGGTCCTCGACGTCGGCCAACCTCGCCGTGCAGCTCGCGCGGCTGGCCGGGCTCAAGGTCGTCACCGTCGTGGACAAACTGCGCCACGGCCTGCGCCTGTCCAACCACACCGTCCTCCGCCCAGACCTCCTTGTCGACAGCCACGACCCCTCGCGCGCCGTCGACATCATCCGCGCCAACGTCGGCAAGACGCTACGCTTCGCCCTCGACACCTCCGGCCGCGACTCCGCGACCTCGCTCCTGCGCGCGCTCGCCCCGCAAGACCCGTCCCGGCCGCCGAGCCCGCCGGATACCCCGCGCAACGCGGACCCGTCCCTCAAGCACCTCATCGGGCTCACCGGCCTGCCGAAGGAGACCGCGCCGGAAGGCGTGGCGTACCATACTGTTCCCATCAAAGTCTTCCACGAAGTCCCGGCCGTGGGCGAGGCGCTGGTCCTCTGGCTGGAGCGGCTGCTCGCCGCGGGGCTGGTCAGCGCGCCCGAGGTGCTCGGCGTCGAGAGCGGGTTCGAGGGGATCAACCGCGGCCTGGACCGGATGCGGCGCGGCGAGATCCGCGGGGGCAGGATGGTCGTCAGCCTCAGTAGCGACGCGGAGACGGGGTTTGCGAGGGAGCCGAGCGCGCCGCCGGCGCTGGTGGATTCCCCCGGTGCTGGTGTAGCGGCGTCGTCGCAGTCTTCCAGCCCCGAGTTCACCGCCACCGAGCCCGGTGTGAGAGGACGGAGCGCGTCGCTGTGGCAGGGCGCGACGGAGGACGCCGTGCCAAGACACGTGCCTGACGGCGGCATCTCGTCGGAGGATCAAGCGGGCACGTCGCCGAGTGCTACTGGGTTCTTGTGGCAGCCGAAGCAGGCTGGGATCGTCGCGGAGAAGCCCCTTTCATAGCGCTGGAGGGTTGAGGATGGAACGGTGTAAGGCAGAAATTCAGCGCCAGAAGAGGCGGGATAATGAGATCAAGACCTCATGTTCATATGGGCTTACCAAAATTTGATAGAAGTAACGAATGCCAAAGATTCCCTTGTTGTTTGAGAAGCATGATGCAGTAGGTAGGCGTGATCGGTGATCGGTAAGACGGGACGGAATTGGATTGGCCGTGGCGGGAAATAGTGGGGCTCCCGAACCCCTCACCGGCCGAGAGGGTTGGAATCGCCGTCGTTTCCTTCCCGTTGGCATATCTCCATCTCATCTCTCCCATTCAACTTTGAAGTTGCACAGCCGATATATCGGAGGCCAATCTTCATCAAACTCGCTTCGAATGAGGCATACCTCAGGATGCCACTCGCTGCTTCTGAGGTCCAGCGCTTGCCGCCCGAGCTTATCTTACACGTCATCGAGGGTCTCCTCCCATATGGAAGAGCGATTCTCCCAGCCTCGTCCAGTGCGACAAAGACACTCATATCCTTTACTCTCGTCTCCCGGTCAACCCACGAGCTGGCAACCCGCCTACTGCGCGAACGATGCATGCACCTCGACTCCAGTTGGCGTCTCAGCTTGGTGCTCTTGACCATGTCAGCGCCGCGACTTTCGACTCTCCCTTTCGTCCTCCCCCTGAAATGCATCACTTCGCTATACCTCAGTCCTTTTGGCAAGCACCTAGATGACCAGCCCATGGCACTCTGGATCAGAGAGCTGCTCTGCGAAGTATGCGGCAGCCTTCGGCGGCTCGTAATAGATTGGCCCATGAACACCTTGCCCCCATGGGACGACCATCTCAACGTGATACCAACGTTGGCGGACGGACTCCACAGACTCGCCAAGCTGGAGGAGCTGGTCGTTCTGCGCAACTATCCGTATCTCATCACAAACTGGACGATATTGAAAAGCCTCCGGCGCGTGGTGCTTTTCGATGCTCATGTCGACACATTCCTGTTGTGGAGAGATATCTTTAGTTGCCGCAGCCTCGAACAAGTTATGTTCGTTCGGCCAGCCGTCGTTGAGGTTGCGTACGTCAAAGAAAAGGCGCAAGACTTTCTATCGGCTGCAACCTCGAAGCGACTCAAGATCACTCTCGCCAACGTCGAGAACGAAATGCCGGAAGTGGTGACGACGAAGTGGGCCGAACACGATCCGGAGAACAGGATGATTGTGGAAAAGTACTACATCCCGACGTCCTTCTACGGTGATGATGACACAAGCACTGTGTGCTGCGACTGGGTAAAGGCGGCTGCGCTGAGAGGTTCAGTTTGGGATTGGGAGGGCCAGCCCGTGGAAGCCCCGTCTGTGGTTATTAGTCCACAGCTAAACGGCAATGATTGAGGCAGCGACATGGACGAAAGCGGTTCCTCGATGAGAAATTGGCTGCTATGCGGCATGTTAACGCAAATTCTGCTAGCACTGCTTTCACGACTGCTGTCTGGCAGGTCTTGCAAGGGATTCCCGAGTCAAAATGTCTCGTGTGTAATATACGGGAGGCGAAATCCGGGGTCCAGGATCCGGGGTAGATCCCAACGGTCCCCGATGCAGGATAGATGCCAAGACGGCGGAGACGATGGGCAGACTGCACGTCAAAGCATTCGCGTCTTCGTTAATTTTTGGGTGCAGTAAGCCTCTGCATCGCCGTGATGGGAGCTCGCTTTCGGGCAACTTGTCCAGCCGGCAGCGGCACGTTATTACGCAGCGTCAATCACAGGGAGATTTACGGCGCCGACGCGCGGTCAAGTCCCTCTCGGCGCCATCGGCCACAGCACGTCAGCCCCCGCGCCGGCCGTTTCCATCCCGACGGCGGAGGGCGGCAGGTGCCCAGGCGCAACATGGGCGCGCATCGGCGGGAAGACGGGACGCTGCAATATCTCAGACAAGCGATGGCCAGTCTGTCAGTGCGACCGACCAACAAGCCTTTCGAGCAAAGTCAATCCCAGCGAGTCGAGACGGGGAAGGTCTGTTCGCGAGAGGTGGTAATGCGGGGATCCGAGACATGCGGTGCTAAGTATCTCAGACAGCATGCAATTGAGGGGTAATCCGCCCGGTTTTCATTCCGCGGGCTTTCGTCGCTGATGAGTCCTAACTTTTGGACGAGAGCATTAGTGACCGTACGATGGCTCGGACAGATCGGATGCAAGTTCTTGGGGGCAGCTGCAGGCAGCGTCGGCAGAACGAGCCTGGGATATTGACAAACGAACGAGTCGATTGTGGGTGGTCAGCTAGATGAGTGGTGAGGTACTTGCTTGCTGCGGTGCTTGCGGGTGACGTTGCATTGGATAGTTTTGCTTCTCCAACCCCCCACGTCGCAGGGCAGGGAGAGACGGTGCGTCGGTCCCCAATCAGGTGGCTTGGAGGGTGTCAATCAGTACGATTGATGTGTCGCCCTGCAGCAAAGACAAGAGCTTCTGGGCGGCGGTTGGTCGCATAGAGAGGGCGAAATGCGGGAAGATCAGGGCGGACAGGATCGGGCGACATGGGGCCGGGTGCGCATGAGGGCTTCCAGAACATGTCGTAGAACAATTCCGACGGCGGTAGTAGAGCACACAGATGGTACGGTATGCCAGTGCAGCCATGTGAGCGACTCTGCGATCGGAGTGGTCAGGCGGTGGATGGAGAATGATGTGCAGGTGGACGCACCCAAGCACCGTTTAGTGACATGGGGGCGACGGTGAGGCGGCGGTTAAGGCAAGCGTCCGTTGTGGAAAGAGGCGGAGGAGGCACGCGTGGACGGCTAAAAGGGTCAATTGGAAGTCGTCCAGTAAGGTACCACCATACCGTTAATGGAGTCAGGTTCCTTCCCGCCGGGCAGTCAGTCAAGCAGGTCGGATCAACGGTGGCCGAGAGGGCCGAGCGGGCGGTGCCGGGACCAGAAGCTGCACCTGCGTTGCTCTTATTCAATGCAAATGTGAAAGGCAAGAGGCCCTTCTTCAGCACCTGCCCAAGCGATGGCCGCAGGGCAAGAGATTCCATTAGTGGCGAGCGGGCCGTCGACGGAGGCCGAATGGAAGGCTGGAAGAAGGAAGCAACGTGAGAGGCGGAAGGAAGGAACGAACGAACGACAGAAGGAACGGTTCAGCGCTAAGTGCAATGGGAAACGGTGACGGTGAGTGGGTGGGGCCACAGCCGCCAAAGGTACCAACGCCGACGGGAAGGAAGGAAGCACTGGATGGATGACCTTTCTGTCGTCGTTTCTTCCTTCTCTCCAGTGCCTTCGCAAGTCAGTACCAAGCAAGAGTCAACTCGCCCACCCACTTTCCCATCCGAGTCCCGATGACATGACACGATCTGACATGGCAAGAGACAGACGCCTCGGCGTTAAATGCCATTCAGCAGTAAACGAGCAGGAGTAATGCCTGTTTCCTTCGAGAGACCACCTCATTCAATGTACCAAGGTAGGCCATGGGCGAATGACCAAAGACCACACATAGTCCAACGGCCAGAGTCTACCTTACAGAGAAATCCACCCATCCATCCACATTCCGCCTTGCCAGTGTCATCCCCGCAACTTGTGCACGCCGTATCGACCTTCATTTTCTCGTCTTCATGCTTCAACTGACTGACTCTCCAATCCTCCAATCCCCGATCCCCGACCCCCGAATTGTCTCTGGCCCAGTGTCTCTCTCCGGGCTGCTTCTACCGACGACCGCCCCTAGTCAAGTCAACTGTCTCTCCCCCGACTCGTCTCGGGGGTATTCGTAAACCAAACCCCATTCTTTGGCCATTCCTTGCCCGTCCCATCCCACCGTCCCAATTTCTCCATTTTACCCCGTTTTTCGCTTTGCTTCGTACCTTAGGTGGCCCCCGTAGTGTCCGCCCTGCAACTACCTTCGCCGTACCTAGGTACTGCTGCTGCTGCTCCTGCACACTCGACGCACTCCCAGGCCAGGCGACCCCCTCGTCCACCCATTCCAGTTACCTGGTGTTCCATCGCAGACCCTCTCTCCCAGTCCACCGTCTCCAGAACTCCAGTTTCTCTCCAGCCGGACACTCTCGCCTCAACTGTGCCTTTCTCTCTCGCTTCGTCACCGTCTCCTCTTCCTCCCTTCTACCCATCTGCACCTAGCTGGACCGCCACTCCTCTCACCCAGCATACACCTCACCGTCAGTTAGCACGCAATCTCTTGTACTCTGGAAGCAAGACAATGTCGAACCTTGATACCCTAACTGGCCCCGTTTCCTCGTCGTTATGAGATCGCGTTTTCTTTGGTTTCACGGAGCATAGGTAAGATTGACTTTGCTCCTCTCCCGTCCCGCAACCCCGATGGATGTGCAACCCGCCTGGTTCCAGCGGTCGACTACGTCTTTTTGCAAATTGTAATGTGCTAATTCTTCCATAGGCGTTGCAACATCCCGATCCTCGCGCCCTCCCGCGCACCACCTCCGAATCCCGTCCCGTCCCTCCTCGTATCCCGAACATCCCGACCCTAGAAATGCCCGACAAAAACCTCACCACGATTTCCTACGCCGCCGGCGCATCACTCGCCGCAATCGCCCTCGTCTATGTATTTGCGCCCACTTTCACAATCGACGAGACCAGCACATCGTCTTCCCGAAGAAAGGGCGTCGTGGGTCTGCGCAATGCAGCCAACGACTGCTTCATAAACTCGACCCTGCAGGCCCTCGCCGGCCTCGGCGAGCTGCGCATATACCTTATTCGCGAGACCCATCGCAGGAATATCGACGATGACGGCGTGTACTCCCAATTGGTCCAGCCGCCAGGCAAAACTTACCCAGACTGGAAGATTGAGGGTATGCAGCGCGGTCTGGTCACCAAGGGCCTCAAGGACATGCTCGACTCCCTGAACGAGAGGCCAATCTATAAGAAGTCCATCTCGGCCATCGATTTTGTCAGGGTGCTGGAGCAGGCGTTCCGGCAGCGCATTTCAAGACAGCAGCAGGATGCGCAGGAGTTCCTCCAAATTGTTGCCGAGAGACTTAAGGAGGAATACCACGCAGGCGAGAGGGCCCGCGCACATGCGCAGCTAGCCGCCTCTCGAGCTGCCTCGGCTGGGGCTTCGGTCAATGGCGAGGCCGTCCAAGAGAAACTCGAAAATCTCAACCTTACGAACGGTCACGCCGATGGATCTTCCTCCGATCTTCCGACGCCGACCGTACCTAAGATTCAGACGAATGGAGTCCACGTTTCCGCCGACGAAGACGAGGGGTTCCCAATGGAAGGAAGATACGAGTCGCAATCCGAGTGCCAGACCTGCGGGTACAAGACGAAGCCGAGGGAAGAGACGTTCTACATGCTGACCCTGAACGTTCCCCAGACCAGCTCCACTACGCTGAGCTCGTGTTTCGACGAGATTTTCAAGACGGAGATGATTGACGATTTCAAGTGCGAGAGGTGCAGGTTGATTCACGGTGAAGAGTCGCTGAAGAAAGACCTGGCAAAGGCACAGACCGACAGCGAAAAGCAAGCGTTGGAAGAAGCAATTCGGAAATTGCGCTTCGCAATCGACGTCGATCCCGAACATGTACCCGAGGACATTCTATTGCCCGACATTAGCACGGCACCGAAGCGCAAAATCGCACGCTCGACTCGCCTTACATCTTTCCCCCGCATTCTGGCCGTGCATCTCTCACGTTCAATCTACGAGCAAACCTCGACCAAGAACTCGGCCAAAGTCGCATTTCCCGAACGTCTGCCGTTGGGCGGCCTCCGCGACCGCAGAAATTACAAGCTGCTTGGCCTAGTGACGCACAAGGGCAGCCACCACAGCGGCCACTACGAGTCTTTCCGGCGCCAAAACACCTACGCGCCCTATTCGAACCAGAACACGTTCCAGCCCTCGGGCATTTACAGCAAGACAGCCAGTCCCGCGGCCACACCGCAGCCATCTACACCGCAACTTGGTGCAAGCCCAGCTGTGTCGACGCCCGACCTGCTCACCCCGAGCTCCGAAACGAACTCAACACCGCCATCGCTGTCTTCCTCCGATGGCTCGCCGAGGGAGCGCATCAAGAAGCGCATCAGCCCCACATCCGCGCCGCGCGACAAGCAGAGGGAACCCGACTCGGGCAGCATCAGATCCGTAAAATCCATCACAGCTTCCGCTAAGAGCACCGTCTCCAAGATTTCCCAGCGCGTCAGCGGCAACAGCACGCCGAGCACCAGTCCGCCGCGCTCCACGCCCATGGCCGTTGCGCCCCGCCCGCCCGTACACAGGCGAAAGAAGCAACCGACCGACCGCTGGTGGCGCATCAGCGACGAGAAGGTCCGCGAGGCCAAGACGAGCGAGGTTCTCGACCTCCGTCGCGAGGTCTACCTGCTCTTCTACGAGCTCGAGAGGGACAGCCCGTAGAGCGAGGCTGGTGACGTCCCAGTGCCGCTGCCCCGACGTGGGATGTTGCCGCCCGAGTACGATCCGCTTTGGCACTACACGACCATCACATCGAGACGAGTCACCTTCTGGCGGTGAAACCGCCCACACAACACGACGCCTTCACCCGAACATATGTATCGCAATTGGACATAGGCTGCAAAGCAAGAGAGGGGCAAACAAAAAAGTGCATCGGTTGGCGTATCGTCATTTCTAGCATTTGTGTTTTGGGTATCCGTTGGATTCCATGCATCGGGGAAGTAGAAGTGTCTAGTTTTTTTTTTTTACGGAAGATATGGTGGGAAGAGGGAACTGGGGCCAGTAGACGGGGGGCTGAGGAGAACGCATGAGACGTAGAGCGTGACTGCGCAATGCAGACAGACATATTGCAAGAAACATCAATGTTGAATACACTACACACCAAGAGTGTTCTTGTGCGCTCGCCGCTTGTGAAATCGTTTACCGCGCTTATCGAGGCCACAGGGGTCCTCCGAAGTTGGGATGGTATCAGATATCAGATTGAGAAACGATGATCCTCAAGGATGAAGGTGGAAACGCTCTCCAGGCCCACGCTACGTCAATGATCTGCGTCTACACCGATAACAGTTCATCCTTGACAGCAATTAACATTGTGACTAAAGCACCAGTGGGAGCATGTTATGACAAAGTGGGCAAACACGAGTGAACAGACATCAGCGAAAAAAAGTTTCATGTTCGATTAGTACTACCGTTCGTACACGGTCAACTCCAAAGCGCCAACATGCTAGCTCTACAGTGGTTCGTTTCCCTCCACCCAGCGCGCGCTCCCGTTCCTCCTGTCCCTCCTGGTTTCCCGTCATTTTATAGTATTCATCCTCTCATTAGATTAATCCCAGTTTTCCTTCTGCCTACTGGCCCAGAATCTCGCCGGCCATCTTGGCCTGGTCCTCCGGGCTCAACGGCGCCTGGCTGCGCACCTTGTCCGCCTTCTCGGCGTCGAAGCGCCACAGCCCGCCCGTCTTGTCGGCGTCCCCGCTGAGCGGCAGGCCGACGTTGGGGCCGAGGGTCTCGAGGACAGAGTCGGCGGTGGCCTGGCGGTCGGTGAAGTACCGCCTCTCCCAGGCGCGGCCCTCGGCCTTCTCCTTTGCGCGGAGCTCGCGCTGGGCCTTTTCGATGGCGGACTTTTCGCGCGAGACGGCGTCCATGTCGCCCTTTGCGATGCCCTCGGCGACGCCCTTCCAGGCGCGGCGGGACTCGAGGGGGTGCTGCTTGTCGAGCGGGGCGACGACGAGCTTGGAGGTGGGGTGCTCGGCGGCGTCGTAGGTCTCGAGGAGGGTCTTTGAGGAGTTGTGCTTGGCGGAGCCCTGGTGGACCTCGAAGGACTTTGTCCAGACGCCGGTGATGTTGTAGGCGACGTCCTTCTCCTTGCCGGTCGGGTAGACGGAGGCGATGACGGAGTTCTTCTTGCCCGAGAGCCAGCCCTTGCCCGAGTAGTCGATCTTGGAGGTGAAGCCGGTGGAGGAGGTGATGAAGGAGGTGCCCTCGAGCTCGATGAAGGGGGCGCCGAAGATGAGACCCTCGATGTGCAGGGCGGGGAGGGTGATGAGGTAGGTTTCCTTCTTGCCTTCGGGGGTGGGGACGGTCAGGACGGCGTGGCCGATCTGCTTGATGTTGATTGTGCGGGAGAAGGTGGCCTTTTGGGCGTTGTATCCCTCGAGGTGGACGCCGCTTGGGAGGTTTGTGATGGAGTAGGCTGTTGCTGGCGGGTGGTGGCTGGAGTGGGTGTTGGTTAGCACCGTGTGTCTGTCTTGTGTGCGGGATGAGGTCGTATCGAGTGTGTGTCTTACCTAACCTGCTCGCTGATGAGCTCCGTGGTGCCGGCCTCGTCCTCCCATTTTCCGAGGAAGAGCTCGCCGAGGAAGGGGTTGAGGGGCTTCTTCTCGTTGCCATACTGCTCGGAGCGGGAGGCGTACTGCTGCTTGAGGGTGGTGATGAACCACTTGGTGACGAGCAGGGCGCGCTTGGCGGGGTCGGCCTCCTTCGCAGGGGCGGCGAAGATGGAGGGGTGCTCGCACCAGTAGGAGGAGAACTCTGTCAGGGAGGTGGAGGAGAGGATGAAGGGCGGCGCGGTCAGGGAGGAGAGGTCGCCGTTGAAGGAGGCGATGGACTGGGAGAGAGGCAGAAGGTCAGCTTTCGTTGCGATATTGAGGTTTGAGAGCGTCATCGGAGGTAGAGAGGCCGGGGAAAGGCGTGCGTACCTTGAGGAAAGCTCCCCAGCTGCCCTGGTTCGCCTGGGCTTGAGCCTGTGTTGAGGTGGCCATTGTGTGGATCGGAGATGTGTTTGGCGGGTTGTCTATGCGTGGCTTTCGCGATGTTTCGGCCGTGGAGGATGTCGTCAAGTCACAAAACGGGTGTGTCTCTTGGGTTGTTCGGGGAGGTAGGTAGGAGGTACAATGGGAAGTCGGAGGTACGAATACGCACGAGGGTTGGCGGCCGTGGTCTTTGTCTTGTGCCTTTATGGGGAACCAGCAGCCAAAGTGGGATGTTGCAGGGCCCGGCGTTGGTTTAGCTGCTGCTTCTGCTGCTGCTGGGAAACTTTTGGCGGGGCCTTTGCCTCAACGGGGCAGGGGTCGGAGCTGCTTTTTCAGCGCTGCTGGGGGCGGCCGGATGGTGGGACCTTTGGGGCGGTAGGGAAGGTCTTGCAGTGGTGGTACCTTACGTACTACCGAGAATCGTGAGAAATTGGGGGTACCTGATCCGCTTGTTGACGGGGCGATGGGTGATGAAGGTGGTTCGTTTCGTGGGATGCTTTTCTGGAGAGGATCTCTGTTGGCGTTGGGAAAGACTGATGAAGCCAAGCAATTGAGGAAATTAGGAAGCCAAAGGGCACCTGAAGAGAATTAATTAGAGGCCGTTGGAGACAGGCGATGGAGGGGGGCGCGGGCTGGACTCGTCGAAGTTGACGTCAAGCAATGCGCACCAGTGCGTCTTCCAGTCCCAAAGGGGCGGAAAAGGCAGCGCGAAAGGGTTGGGTGGGCAGGGGACGGCGGCGGTGGCTGTGCGGCGTGTGTGCGACTAAGGTACGACCACTGACGGAGAGACGTCATCGTCATTGACGGCGCCATCGGACGGGCCGCTTTGTCAGCCACTCTTTGCTGTGATGGCGGCGGATTATCGGATTATCGGAGCTGAGCCACGTCCAATGTGGCTGGTGGGCACCCATCCATCGCATGAGCAGCTTCCGTTTCAAGCTTCAGACGACGGACGGACGGCCCAGCGGGACGAAAGACCTTACTGCGCAGAGACATGTGGAGAGCATGGTCCTCGAACGGGCCCGAGCTGCACCCCGCTCCGGCGTCGGTAGGATGCGATGCGATGCGACGGGGAGGGAAGCTCGGTCTCGGGTCTGCGATGCCCCATGGGGAGGTGCGGACTTGCAGGCTTCAGATATACGACGTATACATGCGCACCGGCAACGGCGGACTTTTGGTTTGCTGCAGTCTCTGTTTGATGGAACTTCGCCCGGGTGGAATGCAAAATGTGTCTTTTTTGGTGCTGTGCAGCTGTCAGCATCATACCTCCAAGAGGAAGGTGTTGGTGATTGGGTAAGATTTTGATCACGCTGGGCGGAGTGCTCGGAACTGAACCCTTTCAAGCCATTGTATGAGTGCGACGTGATCCATTCAACTAGACGACATCGCATCATGTCCTCAAAAACTGCAAAAATCATCTACGCCTGTGTGTCCCGGGTATCATCGCCATCCATCCATTTTTCCGTATCCCATCCTCAGCATGTCTCTTGTAACCTGCCAACCTCCTCACGGTTAATCCCCGAATAATGCCCAGTACTCTTCTCCCCGATAATCATCCACGGGCTCGTCCGACACTCCCTACTGCTCTCAATCCACGTCCACGCAAGGCACTTCTTCTTCAGCCCCTCGCAAACCTCCAAACACGCCTCCGCATTGTCCACCCCGCCGACCACATTCGACCTCTCATCCGTCCTGCCCACGTAATCCCTCCCCGGGCGCACCGGACCGCTCCGAAACTCCTCTACCGACGGCGCGCCGTAAATCTCCCACAGCTGGCCCCAAAACACCGGACTCTCAAACCCCCGAAACGCGCCCCCGATGCGCCGCATCTCCGCCGGGTCCGCCACGCCGTGGAACGACACCAGCGGCGAGCAGAACCGGTCCCCCATGATCTTGGAGATGCCCGGCCGCTCCCCGTTGAAGAAGTGGCTGTACTGCTCGTCGAGGTAGACCCCCACCTTCTGGAACGCCGTCGCGATCAGCTTGTCGCCCCACGTCTCCGTCAGCGAGCTCTCCTGCGCGGCGGCGACCACGTCCCGCCGCGAGAGCAGCTTGGCGGCCGCCTCGTGCGAGATGACCACCGACGACCCGCCGTGCGCGAAGCGCCCGCGGAAGTCGCCCACCGCGTTGCCGATGTACTGCGCCGCGTCGGGGTCCCAGTGCGCGAGCAGCAGCCGCAGCGAGGACTGCACGAGGTACGTGTCGTCGTCGAGGATGACGTACCACTTCTTGCGCGGGAGGTTGTCGTAGACGAACTCCAGACCCCAGATGAACTGTTTGGCAAGCGTCAGTTTGGGTGTGCAGCGTTTTACTAGTGCAGCCATTCAGAGGGAGGGGGGAGAGGATGACTGCGTGAACACGCGGGGCAAGGTGATAACAACGGTTGTAAGTACCTACCTTTAACGCATCCAGATCCCACCCGAAACTCTGGCCAATCTGCGTCGCCCGCTGGTCGTCGCCCTTTTCGATGGCGTCCCGGAGGGCGATGTACTCCTGGAACTTCGGCGCGTCGTGGTGCTTCCGCATCTCGGGCATCGCCATGACCCCGCCGACGGCATCGTGCACCTCCACCCCAGCGTGCGTCCCGTTCCCACGCGGGGTCCAGTCGCCGACGACGACAAAGGCGTCGGCGTCCGCTGCGGTCAGCTCAAAGGCCTCGAGCTGGGCGGCCAGGCGGTGCCGCGTGCCGTAGCCGGTCTTGATGAGCAGGCCGACGTCCGTCCGGAAGTCGATTGGGTATTTCGCGGGCGAGTACAGCCAGGCGTCCTTTTCGACGCCGTCGCCGCGCCACCAGTTGCTTAGGCCCGAGACGTTGAAGCGCAGCGCGAGGACGAGCGGGTTGTCGTAGGGCAGGACCAGGAAGAGGAGGGCGTTGCCGATGAGGAAGGCGAAGACGAGGAGGGTGACGAGACGGCGGAGGCGCGGGGAGGGGAGAATCATTGCTGGTGCGGGCCGTTGTTGGCGGCGCCGCAGTGAGAGAGGAGTGGCGTGGCGAGAGTATCATGAGCTGGTGGCCTTCATACCCCGCGGGCCGTGATGGAAGGTGTGATTGCTCAACCGTATGGTCGGGCTTTTGAGGTGCATGCAGAGCGGACTAGATGAAGGGGCTCTTGACAGGCGGCAAGCAGGCAAGCACAGGTTCGTTGATGAGGTCCTAAGTCGGGTCGTTGAGAGATATATGCAGCGAGGGAGGAATCGTGACGTAAGCCCAAGCGCAAGTGTCTCCGTGGAGAACGGATGAGATATGCTGTCTGGCGCGGCAACAGCGCTGTTTATCTCGTTGACAGGTTGACAGATGAAGCTACAAAGCCATCACGACGTCGTCAAGAAACATCATCACCGAAGTAGGTGTTGCAGTAAGGAAAGATGAGAGCCAAGATGGGCAAGAAATTGCGCGGGCCACAGACACGTCTCACCAACGGCATGTCCAAGCCGCTTCAGACGAAAATCGCTCCCGCAAAAAAGCAAAAAGAAACAAACGATAAGGGCGATTGGAGAACGCCGCGGCGCCAAGGCCCCTCTTCCCAAGGGCCACGCCACATACGCAGCACCTTCAGGTGAGTGAAGCGGCAACAAGACGGCTCTTGCGGCAATGTGCATGGCGTTTCGTAATCGTCCACTGTCGGGCTCCCGCGTGTGCTGTTCCTGCAGCGGCATCCCTCATCCGGACTAGCAGACAAGAAAAGAGAGAACCTAAGGGGGAAAATAAAAAAAAACACCAAGACTCGTCACCACCTGTGCCGCGCCTCTGCCGTGCCACTAAGCTCTCGTCTCCCCTCAAGCTTCGTTCTTGGCTGCAATTACAGCTGCTGGATGCCCAGAAACCGCCAACCTTCAACCGCGACACAGCCTCTGCCGAGCCAAAATGCGCGTCTCACGTCTCACATTGCGCTCGTTCTTGCGAGAAAAGCCAAAACGAGGATTCTTAGTACGAACCCCTCTAAGTTTTCAAAGGGAAAACGGCACTTAAAACAACCCCTCACGCCGGCCTGGCGAACCCTTGCCTTGCCACTGGTGTTCCTTCTGCTCGATGTTCCTGGCCCATGTCCATTTTGGGGGGCAACTGTCTCCGCACCCCATGTTCGGGAGCGATCCAGTTACATCGGCTCCTAGCGATTGCTTCCCCGGGGGGACGATGCTGTTTTTCCCCGGCTGGAGAACTGCCGCTCTGCGCCACCGATCCGTGACATCGGGGCCGGCTGTCAGTCTTTTGGCAGGTTGACATATCACACCGCAGTAGTATAATGTCACGCACCATCTCAACGTCCGACAATCGTTTCTTTTCTTCTGTTTCGCTCTGTATTTGGTCGCATTTACTCAGGGTCCAGACCTGAGGGCGTCCCGAGTCCGTGTCACCGCGCTCATGGGTGGCCTGCTAGCGCCCGCTGCCACTTTTGAAGAGAACCCGCCGTTAATAACACCCATCGTCAAGGATCCCCCTTCCCAGCTTCCCCATCACCATCAAAACCACCTCGTCACGTCTTGACCGTGTCGAACCTGCTCTTTTGCCTAATGAGTCGTCCCCACTTGAAAAACGCCCACGGCACCGGCATCAATGCCAGCGCGATGAAGCCAAGCAAGCTGCTCGCCCAGCCGATCCCCAAATTACGGTACACTGTGGTGGTCAGCTACCAATGACTCGGTCAAGAACTGGGGGTGAGGTATTCACGCACTCTGGACGACAAACAGCGGGAACGCGCCAGCAAGCAAATACCGCGCCAGACTATTCGCACTCGTCGCGCTTGCAATCGTCGTCCCGCGATACACGTCCACAAGGTACTGTATCGTGCTCACAAACAGGCAAATGTTCCCCCACGCAAACGGCATGATGGCCACCACGGGGCTCGCCCACGACACGTCCGCGCGCGCCGTCCACCCGAACCAGAACAGCCCCAGCGGCATGCCGAGACTGCCTATCATGGCCGGGTAGAGGCGGTACTCGGGCGGCGTGCGGTGCGGCGGGTGCCTCTTCGTCTGCGGGAGGTACAGCAGGGCGTTGCACAGAAGCACGGTCGCGGCGCCGAGGACACAGCCCACGGCGATCGAAATGAAGACGAGCCCCGCCTGCTCTACGCTGAACCCGTACACCGTCTCGAAGACGTACGGCAGCGCGGCGAAGAAGGAGAAGAGCGTCGCGAACTCGCAGGCGACGTAGAGGCACACGAAGGAGACGATGGGCTCGGTGAGCATCATGCGCACGGGGCGGGTCAGGGACGTGGTCGCGAAGGCCTGGATGCGCTCGCGCTTGGGTTTGCGGGGTTCGCTTGGGAGGTTGAGGTGTTTCTGCCGCCGGGGTTTGAGGACGGAGTGGTATGTTTCGCGCGCGAAGAGGGTGGTGAGCATGGAGGTGATGATGAAGAAGAGCAGCGTCCATTGCGTCCAGCGCCAGCCCTTGCGGGTTACTACGAAGGAGCCTATGACGGGTCTGTGGTGGGTCAGCACAGCAGGCTTCGAAGTGAAGGTGCCTTACCCGAGACCGGGTCCAAGGAACGGCATCAGGATGTAGATGGTCGACGGCAATGCTCGTTGAGACGGTCGGAATGTCTCGTTGATGGTGCCGGACCCGATGGCCAGACTGGGGGAGAGGCAGAATCCTGCCAGAAAGCGCAGGATGCAGATGCCGGGGAAGCTGTGGCAGAAGCCCACGCCCAAGGTGAAGAGACCGCCAAGAGGGAGGCTGACGAGGTAGACTGGGTATCTGCCCACCGTCTCCGAGAGAGGGCCGCCGACGACTGGACCTAGGCCGAGAGCGAAGACGTATAGTGATAGCGGCAGGACTGCCTGTGTTGTGGTGACCCCGAATTCCTCGACTAGCTGGGTGTCGGCTGGGCTTATGATGGAAGTTCCCACGGAGCTGTGCAGGGTACCGTCAGTGACATGGATTCCTGAAGTTGGCCAGTTGGGGCTCACGCTGTGAATGCTGCCGCTGCTAGCATCACGATCTGCCGTATCTTTAGCCGCAATGGCCAATTATAGGGGTTACTGGGGTCGTCGTCCCATTTCCACTCCTTTGCGTCGGCATGGCTGTCTGGGTTATCGGAAGTCTTCGCGCGGCCTTCTGCTGGTCTCTCTGCCTTTTCAGGGTCGCATGCGATATCATCTTGGCTTGCGGTTGGTGTAGTCTCCTCTCGAAGTGACCTAGATTCTGTAGAGGATACCATCTGGTCTCGTCGCGATGTCCAAGTCGTAGCATTTACTCACAGAGAAACAGACCAGCTCGACACATTGTGGAAGCGAGCCGTCGGCCATTATATGCCAGTGACAACAAAGATGCACCATTAGCGCCTTTTGGATGCAATGATTCATATCTCCAACACCATAAACACTACGGCAGCACTAGCGGCGGGTGCAATCTCGAGCTTGTGCCGGGAATGAGAGATCCTTCCCGCCATTGAGGCAGATCTGCCATGGACCAATGCGCCGACATATCATTCAAGTGGTCACACGGCTAACGATAACGCACCGCCAGCTACGTCAGTCGGGATAAAGTGAAGATGTCTTGCATGCGCGACGGGGCCTTTTAGCATGAAGACTTGACGGCTTGTCTCACTAGTGCGACTAACCGCTTGCACAGAGTGAGCGCCGACTCAAACAGTCGGAGGCCGGCTTACACTTATGTTGAACGCCGAATGGCTTGGTATGATCGCACTGAAACATGTGAAGAAATGACTCTCACAGTACCTTAGTGTCTAGTCTCATCAAACTGCCATAGGGAAAATGGATCGGGCGGCTTCATGCGAGGTCGTCGAGCCGAGTTATAGACGCTATGGCGGCGAAATAGCTTGAGCCTGCCATAGATCTCTCATGCTTCACAAGTGTATCCACAGAATTGATTAATTCGTGACTTGAAACAACATACATACCCAGATGTATCGGTACACATCAACACAGCTCTATTTTGATGCGAATCGGGTCTTCCAATGACACACTCCGATCACAAGCTGCCCGGGGCCGTGTGGGTCTCCTAAATCGGCGCCAGCTCCCCCGGCCCCAGTCCCGTGCGTCATCCCTGCCCCAAGCTTCCCCCAAAAATTCATCAATTCTTCGACCATCAACCCGCACCACCAAAAAACACCCCACGATGCCGGCTCGATGGCACACCAACCACCACCACCATCATCGCAGCCCGTAATGGCCTCCCCCGACCCAGCGACAACAACATCAACAGCGACCACCTCCGCCGCCCCGTCGATCCTCAACCTCGATGCCCTCTTCAACAACCCCCTCTTCGCCGGCGGCATCGGCCTCGCCAGCCTAGGCGCCGCCGCCGCCTTCGCCCGCAAAGGCGCCCTCGTCGCCGCCGGAGCCGCCCGCCGCCGCCTCCTCGTCAACGTCGAGATCAGCAAGCAGGACCCGGCCTACCCCTGGATCCTCGCCTGGCTCTCCCAGCCCCGCGAGGCCGCCGGCTTCGTCGCCTCCCGCATCACCCGCATCCACAACCTCTCCGTGTCCACGACGACCTCGAACGCCCGCGGCGCGGCCAGCGGGCCCGCGAACGCGCATTTTTTCTTGCAGCCGGGATATGGAAGGCACATCGTCAAGCACGGCAACGCGTACATCGCGGTGAACCGCGAGAAGCACAACACGGCGAACATGAACACGGGCGAGCCGCACGAGATCGTGCAGCTGACGGCGCTGTGGGCGCACCGGCACGTCTTCGAGGAGGTGTTTGGCGAGGCGCACGCGCTCGCGGCCAAGGCGAACGAGGGCAAGACGGTGGTGTACGCGGCGCGCGGCATGGAGTGGGCGCCACTCGGCGATCCGCGGAAGAAGCGGCCGCTGGGCTCGGTGATACTGGACGAGGGCGTGAAGGAGGGGATCGTGGACGACGTGAGGGACTTTTTGACGAGGCAGCAGTGGTATGTTGACCGCGGCATCCCATACCGTCGCGGGTACCTTCTGTTTGGACCGCCCGGGAGTGGAAAGAGTTCGTTCATCCAGTCGTTGGCTGGAGAGCTGGATTTCAGCGTGGCGATGATCAACCTAAGCGAGATGGGCATGACGGATGATAAGTTGGCCTACCTCCTGACGAAGCTGCCGCGCCGGAGTCTGTTGCTGCTGGAGGACGCAGACGCTGCGTTTGTGAACCGCCGGCAGCGCGATGCAGACGGCTACAGTGGCGCAAGCGTCACTTTCTCGGGATTGCTGAATGCACTGGACGGAGTCGCTGCCGGCGAGGAGCGCATTGCATTCCTCACAACAAACCACATCGAACGCCTCGACCCGGCGCTGATCCGCCCCGGCCGTGTCGACATGATGATGCGCATCGGCGAGGCGACGCGGTACCAGGCCGGGCAGATGTGGGATCGCTTCTATGGCGACGTGGACGCGGACGGCTTTGGCCGCGAGCGCTTCCTCAACAGGCTTGATGAGCTGCACTTGTTCGGCAATGGCGAGGGCGAGACGGCTGGACGGTTCACCAGCACGGCGGCCATCCAGGGACTGTTCTTGTTCAACAAGAATGATATGCAGGGCGCCATTGACATGGCCGAGGGCCTGATCCCGCGCAAATTTGAGGCGGGGGATGCGATTCCTGAGGGAGCGATCAAGACGAAGGCTTGAGGTGCGCCTGTACAGCGCTGTAACAACATGTACATGTACAAAATCATAGACAAAACCTGAGATGATACCCATGCATTTACAATCCAGTTCAATCTCTCGTGCATCCTCCCACGATCCGGGCAGCCCATCACACGTGAGTTACCCGAGCTATTGGTAGCGCAAGGTTGCACGCTAGGTATCGACCCAGCTAGCGGGCCCAGCCCCAAACGTTTCCCCATCTCATCTTCAGTCCCGCAACTTTAATCCGTCAACGTCTTCCAGGGACAACCTTCATTAAACGTCGACTTTCCTCAAAAAACCATCGCGTGCTCATTTCCAGGCACCAAGATCGTGCTCGGTCGCCTGCTCTGGGAAGGTTTGCTGTCGAAGTTTCGCGATACCCCACCACGCGCCGCGCCCTGGCGTCGATTTCTCATCTGCTCCAGGCAGCCATGCGCTAAAACAAACGCCAACATCCGTCTCATGATTTCCCTAACTTCAACTTCTGCAAATCACTACCTACAGTCGCGATGTCGCGCCAGACCAGCCTGTTCGATTATTTGTCTGGAGGCGGCGGCGGTCGACCTCGCAAACAAAACCAACGGCCCCAGCAATCCACAGGGCCGTCTCAATCTTCGTCCTACTTCTCCAGCAACGGCGAAAGTGGGTCGTCGTCACAATCGAGCAGCCGCGGCTCTCACTCTTACAGAGGCTCGCGCGGATCCCGTTCACCACGAGGTTCTCGCGGATCCTCATCATCACGAGGCTCCCGCGGCGGTCAAGGAGGCGACCGCTCCAACGACGCACTCGCCCTGGTCTCAGAAGAAACCCGCAACGTCCTGCCCGGTATCCTGCTCAACCTGCCACATCTGGATGCGACTGCGTCCGAGTCGCTGCACCTCTCAGAGCTACCGCCCTTGAAGTCGCATACATGTCCCGGACACCCGCGCGCGAAGATCAAGATCGTGAATGAGGACACGTTCAATGCGGCTATCGAACTCGCGGCGAAGAGACCTGATGGCGGGCGCGTGGCGGTGCTGAATATGGCATCGGATATTCACGCTGGCGGTGGGTGGTTGAAGGGCGCTGTTGCGCAGGAGGAGGCTATGTGTTATCGCTCATCGCTGTATCTAAGCCTGCACAAGCGGTATTATCCGTTTCGCAGGCGGATGGGGCTGTTTTCGCCTGATGTGGTGGTGATCCGGGGTGACATGGCAGGCGGACATAAACTTCTTGTCCCGGGAACGGCGCACACTGATCTACCGGTGGTCAGTGTTCTCAGCATTGCGGCGATCCGAAGACCGGAGGTGCGAAAAGTGAGGGTCGGGTCTGATGAGGAGTATGAATTTGCAAAGGCGAATGATCGGGTTTTGACGATGGATAAAATGAGGCTGTGCTTGAGGATGGCGGCGGCGAGGGGTCACAGTTTATTGGTGTTGGGCGCGCTGGGATGCGGTGCATTCAGAAATCCGCCAGGGGAGATTGCGCGGTGTTGGCTGGAAGTGCTGGGTGAAGCGGAATTTGCGGGGGGCTGGTGGAGGGAAATGTGGTTTGCGGTTTACGATCGGAAGAATGAGGGGAATTTTGAGGTTTTTGATGAGATGCTGGGTGGAGTGGAGGTTTAAGATGCAGGGAATGATCTTGGAGATGTATTATGAAAATAAGACATGGGGTTTGTGGAGGTTGGGCGGCACATGTACCGAAAACCTCACTAGAACATCGCGAGATCGGTGAAAGTGGCGGGAGGCCCTTGAGATCATCAGGGACTGGGATGCAGGGGCCATGCAGGTGGGGAATATATCTTAGGCAGGACGTGGACACTTTGAAGAACATAAAAGTATGGCCTCTAAGTTTTGGGGTATGAGGGTCTATTGCAAAAGAAACGACGTCTGTATCTCAAAACCCCAAAGGAACATGTTCCAACACCTTGCGAACATGCTTACTAACATTTGGTCCCAACCCTCGATCGTGCACTTGTATTGACGTGTGTTCCTCGTCAGGGTCCAGACGACAAGAGCCGAGACAAACTCTCGACGAAGTTATTCTTGGGGTGTCCACGCCCTTGGGCTCGTACCATGAGAAAATCGATCTGGTACTCCTCGGGAGGATGGTAGAGAGGGCTGTGGGCGGAGCAAACTGGACAAAAGAATAATAAAATTAGTTATTTGGTCTCATCTGCATTTCATGGAGAAATAGACCATACTAGGTAGGTGCATCGCGCTGTGCTGTTGTTGGCACGTCCGCCATTGAAGATACGCGAGGACGGCGGGGGGTATTGCAATGAAGATGGCGATGACAGCCAGGATTGCTTCGATTGACAAATTGGGCATGCTGATGGTCCTTGAGGTACGTTGACAACAGTACAAAAGTGTTGGTGTTCAAGGGTGTCACGGACGACGCAGTTGGAGGGTGTTATGGAACTGGGGGAAGAAATGTGAGGCGAAGATGGATGGTGCCAGACATTGCTATATTGAGAAGAGAGCAGATGCAGGCGCGCGTGAGCAGAAGTAGAGGCGGGGGATGACAGCTGTCAGTGGTAGACATGGGTGATGAAGGGCACTGGACATGGAGGCAGGTCGAAAAATGAAGGTACCCCTCCGAAAGGGCATCACGGCTGAGTCGGGGTTCGGCGAGGGTCACAAGGAAAGAATTTCCCCACGTTCGGTTGGCTGCAATTCTCACTCCAACACTGTTACTGGTCGCCTGTGACTGGGTGGCTCGCCCACCACTATGCGCATACCTATTATCAGCCGCCAGCGCCTTGTCACAATCCGACGTAAGTGGGTCAAATGGTCTTGTAACCTGGTGGCCCTATTTGCTTGTTCTCGTGAATCTCAATTATACGCTGTAGCTAGAAAAGTCACCTCCACATCCGTCTATTATACTCATGAAGTTTTGCAGTTGAAGATATGTGAACCGCGGCGCTTTCCCCGTTTGTCTTGCCAGCAGTACGAGTAACTTGGTAATTTTGTGGAATATGAGGGCATTTTGTTAGTCAAGCCTCATAACTAAACTTAATCTTTTCAGTAAAAAGTACTTGAATTATCTGTTCGTAGAAATTGTGGATAAGATGTGCTCGTTCAGTGAGTAATGAGTGTTATTGGAACTATGTTTTGAATAGGAATTTGTAAGCTATTGTTAAACATGCTGGAAAGCCGCACGCAAGTCTCGTGCTATATTCAAGGCTACTTGTGAATCCTCCAACAGACGGCTCAGCACCGGGCAAATAGCCGTGCAAGGGGACAATTTCTGTGGTTCACGTTGACAGTGAAATTTCCTAAAAGAATTTTTCCTGGTCTAAAATGCACGTTCTCATTGTGCCTCGTTTACACGCGTCTCCGAGTATTGTATACGTAAGAAACCATGGATAGTTGTCATGCCTTCGCTCTGGGCTCCATGCAGCGCTCTATATCACAAACCTCAAGATTCAGATGACATGAGCCGAGACACACCCTCGACCAAGTTGGTGTTCGAGAGCCAAGAGCCCTCGGCGCGCATGATGAAGATGTTGACCTGACCCGGGATGGCGGCACGGTTTGGAACATCGATGGCTTCATTTGGGCTAATGTCGGTAGTATAAACTAGAGGGAGTAGATAACAGTCAGCGACGGCATGATATTTGTTGATGTAACAGGCCCTTATGTAAGGTAAATGAAGGAATAAAGGGAACCCACGTGGGAGTTCTTCTGCTGCTTGCGGCTGACCACTAGTGGGTCGACCGGGCTTCCGCCAATTAAGGTAGGCGAAGATTATTGGAGGTACAGCGATGAGCAGTGCGATGAGAGCAATCACAGCTTCGGCTGTCAGCTTCGGCTGTCAGCTTCGACATAATAATGGGCATCGGAGGTTTTTCTAAGAAAGTTGCATAGAGCAAGCCCCGAGTTTTCTGGGTTGAAGGGTGCGTGATAATGGAAACGTTCAAGAAACTGGATGCTGTTTAGTCGAAAAGCGCTGAGACTTCGAAGCCAGCTACGGGCATCCATGGATCCTTGGACAGCTCTGCAGTCTGCAGCCTGGGTGTCTCGACCTGACGTCCTTTCCTATTGGTTTGATCATTAAACCCCACTCACACATGTTCTGCACAGTTCTATTCTTTCGTCTCCTACTGGCTTCATTCCCAAGTGTCGGTGTACGCAGCCAATCACCTCACACCAACTCATCGCTCACCTTTTCTCCCGTTCAAGCTGGATTGCTCTGCACCGCCCACAGCTCGCTTCAGCCACATTACGGTTTCACTAACCAGAAGTAGGACTTCTCAACGTAGCCACCGGGTATATTGGCATCCTCACTAGCAACGTGCTTTTCGCACCTCCCCGATAAGCTCCTTATCGTGAGGTCGTGTGTCGAAATATAAGTAATAAGAACACCACGGACCAAATTGGTTGTAAGAACCCTACAGATTGAATCACAATGAGCATAGTTATATGATGTTAAACTTCTCGACAAGAGTCAGCGGTCAGATACCAACTGGGCTTCTTGTAGTCATCACGAGTGCTCAATATTTTAGGTAAATCGAAGAAATTCTCATTACAGCTATTTTTCTCGACCTTGATATGCTGATCCTGTTGTCTCCGTGACGCAGACAGGCGACAACCTGACCTGTCTCCCCCGACCTCACAAGAGACTCTCTCAACACGGACAAAATGAACAACGTCCTGCAGTGGGCTTTCCGTCATCTGCAACGCAGCATTGCTTAATCTTCTGGACTGTGTCACAGGCACCGCAATTGCCAGAGCCACAGAAATTGGCCTGGCGAGACATAAGGACGTTGCTGCTGTCGCCAGCGACACCTGCAACAGCGATGCTGGTAAAGGCGCTGAGAATGATTGTAAAAATGGCGGTCTTCATCTTGTCTGGTAAATGATGTTGCTGTAGATGTCCTGGTGGAAGTATCGCCCAGGGTCGGATAGACGATCCACGTATTTGATGAATAAGGAATTGTGTGAAGTTGAAATTGGAAGGTGGTCTGATGTTTGAGATGAACTGTGTGGTTCAGATGAAGAAGATCAATCAGCCTTCTTATGAGTCATTGAACCGGGTCATTGACGGCGACTTTTCAGGAATATCTCCGGATCTCCCCCTGATTAAAACTCCACACGGGGAGTTCTTAGCGGGCACTTTCAATTTAGTCTCCAAATAAAGCTGTAACAAAACGGGCATCCACGCCTGGAGACTCGAGCTTCCTCTGACTCGTAACGGTTTCCCGAGCCTTGGCTCGATTCAAGGGAATCCAATACCGAAAGCGACGTAAAAGGCCAAACGCACCCGAATACGGGTAGAGCCCAATACAAGCACACGCCGATATTTGCGAATTACATATTACACGCGCCCGGGTAAAGAACGACGGTGATAGAGAACATGAGAGCGGCAAAAAGGACAGGCGACGGCAACAGAAGGGCTGATGACTACGGTAACGGCAGAAAAATTGACAACGGCTGCGACAACGACGACGACGATGACGGCAATACCTTGCAACGTACTCAGTATGCCATGTAAAAGGAAGCAGTTTTGGCAAAGAAAACGTGGCAGTTGGTAACGAATGGTGACTCCACCCGGTCACCTTCATTGCAACTAACGAGTAACAAGTATAGCCGGAGCGGTCAACTGCGTTGTTCAATCTTAGTCTACAACCAGGACGCTACGGAACCTAACAGATCCCGTCAACATATGGCCCATAGCTTCATTGACCTTCTCCAGAGGAAATTTCTCGACCAGGCACTTTACACCATGAACCTTTGAGAATTCGAGGGTTTCCTCGGCGTCAGTGATATTGCCACTGGGCCAGCTGAGTACGGAGGCACCCTTGCGTAAAAGAACCGTGGTGTCGATCTCGACGTTTCCAACTGGGGCAAGCACGAGAAGCTTTCCCAATGATCGGAGACCGTTGACCAAAGGTGAGATGGCTTTGGCGTGCGGAGCAGTTGCGACGATGAGATCGGCACCACCAAGGGCTGTCAAGGCCTTCACTGGGTCTTCGGCGCTGGTGTCGACGTAGTGATGTGCGCCAAGCTCCTGAGCGAATTCCTTCTTCGAGCTCCCGGAACTCAAGGCCACAACTTTGTATCCCATGCGGTTTGCATACTGAATTGCGAGATGTCCGAGGCCACCGAGGCCTTGAACAGCGACGAGACTCCCAGCCTCGATGCCCATCTTCCGAATACCATTGAAGCTTGTGAGACCGGCGCACATCAAAGGAGCAGCTTCGGCGGGGTCCATATCAGCAGGCACTCTAACGATAGCTTGGGAGCGCACCAAGACGTATTCGCCAAAGCCGCCGTCCAGTGTGACGCCATGCGCCTCTTCGTTCTGGCACATCTGCACAAGACCGCGAGAACACTCACGACAGGTGCCGTCATGACCTGAAAAGTTGGAATTAGTAAGCGAGTATGTCCAACAACCGTTTCACTGACCTCCGTGCCAAGAGCCACCAACACGATCTCCAGGCTTCACTTCCTTAACAGCGCTGCCAACTTGCACGACATCTCCGATGATCTCGTGGCCAGGCACCCGCGGGAAGGAGTTGCCGAAGTAGCCGGCCGCGACTACAGCATCAGTGTGGCAGACGCCGCAAGCGAGGACCTTGACAAGAACTTGTTTGTCCCCAACCGTGGGCATTGGGATGTCCTTGAGAGCCAACGGTGAGCCGGGAGTCTCGGCAACAGCGACCTTGTAAGACGATGGGAGAGACATGGCTGTGATGAAAATAGAGAAGAGGTTCCTTTCAAGTGTGACTTCAAGTAGTAATAGGTGCGGTGTGATAGATCCCTCAGATAGAGAAAAGGGTCGATAGTTATTGCGACGATCATCAAGAAGGCAATTGAGGACATTGGTTATTTATACCCAAAGCTCATTGATCCCATACACGAGGGCAGCTCTGGCTCAACGGGGAACATTGTGGCGAGTTGGATTCCGTTCCCGCTTAACCCGACGATCCCTTGAAATGTCTAATCGTTGATGATTAATTGTATTCCGGGACGCTAACCTCAGCTTGCTTTAAAGAGTGAATGGCCAGGATCTTGAGTATTGAAAGTGGAGAAATGAACCGTGTAGAGACTCTACGAACGACCGAGTTCATCATCAAACATGGTGATATGAGCCGTAATCCCGTGAATTCGGACTCGTTAGTTCAACGATTTCCTAAAACGGAATGAATAAACTCCGTTTGGGTTAAGATTAGTGCCGAAATGATTTATAAGCGGTTTTGTTAAGTGGTATCTGGGTGTATCCGTCTGGATGTCTCCGTGAAGCTAACTTCGCCAAGGTTAACCCCACCTTAAATAGCCCGATGCTTGCAAACTCCGCGTACAAGAGCGACCAAAACACTGAAATTAAGAAAATAGCAGATACGTGACTAAAGGTCCTTTCTACAGGTATAAGTCCCATAGTGAAACAATCTACAGCAACACCTAGCCTGCAACCATATCACCACCTTGTGGCAGCAAATGGTTAGACCTCCTGTATAGCACCCAGTAAGTACCAGAACACAGGATGAACCCAGCAAGAATACATGTGACGTAATTTATTTCGCCGGCTACAAATAGAAGATGATAAGGGAAAGAGTAGAAGAACAGTGCGATAAACTACCATGCCAAGGTGATGATATTCGCGGCAAGGCCAAATCTGTCAAGCCAGAAAGACCCCTTTGCCAAAGCATTCCTTCAATATGAGAGCATCCAAATAACATAGATGGCGTATGTGAAGTATTGGGACAGTATGCGAGCGGAAACAAAAGAACTGAATACTGTTTGTGTCCCGAGGTACACTGCTTCAATCAGACTGGCCCAAATAACACAACCACAAATGAGCCCAAATATGGGTATGAAACGGAGCTGGAGTAATCGCGGCGAGATATCGATGGAATGGGAAGCCCTTGTTCCGCGCGAAAGCCCACGGCATTCAGAACTGCCATGCATGAATCCGAATGATAACAGCCACTGTGATGAGAAAAACCAAGACTTGAAGAGTAATTGCGCGGGCTTCCCTACCTGACACCGGAAGAAAAAGGGCGAGAGAGACAAACCCGAGACCGTTGTTGATGGTTTCGTTCATGTCGCGTACAGAAAATAGTATGGCCAGCATCATTGGAGGCTCGTTGGCCGTGCCGACTACAACAGTTCACAGCAAGGCCTTGGGCACGTTCTTTCGAGGTTCCAATATCTAGTCTGCCAGATATGAACAGCAGCATCTAAGATAAACACCAAATTGATGCGTTCATGCCGAGGGAAGATGCCATACCGATAGGCCAACCCGATGTGTTCTCAAAGCCGACGAACACAGCCTTGGCTGTCTGCTTTTTCAGAGTGAAGGACAGAGGGGTCATAAACATTAGGATCAGAGACGCAAGACAGAAGAACAATGCGCCCTTTGCAGCTAATCCAAGAAGACGCTCGAATAGATCGAATGAGAACGTTTTCACTGTGATGATCTGATACACCAGCAACGTGATCCATGGGTCTGGGTTGAATGTCAGGTTGAGCAGCTAAGACATTCCAATCACCATGGTGGCCGCAACTAATGTGCCGGAAGCACAGATGCAGATGGCCCCATGCCCAAGAGAGAATGGCAATGGTACACGAGAGGAATGACTTGATCCTCTTGGGCGCTCATTGGCTCACCCAGAAGTATTGCCCGACAGAGTGAGGGAACGCCGACGCGAGCTCAGCCAGACTGATAGCACAACACAGCCGACGAATGAGAGGATGACAAACCCGTATATAGACGCAGGCCCACCCCCAAGTGGAAGTGTGAATACACAACATTGACTTTCTTGACGATATTCCTCAAACTTTGCTCTTCATATGACTTTAAACACGTGAAACTACTGACTTAATAAGATATGGGGCCCTCACTGCAGGGAGACCAGGGAAAGCCATGATGTTCTGCCTAGATATTCTCACTGGCTACGCGTGGTGTTCAAGAGTAGATCAACGCTCACAATAAATCTAGTAATTGATATGCGATTTCACCTTTCAATGGTTCTGAGTCAACCGCTTTATGTTGGGTCAGCATATAGTCAAGGTACAATGGGCACAGAACAAGCCTCCCCCGGAACCTAGCGCTATCATGCGTAAAACAGACGGACCAAATGACAAGGTGGCCTTCGACCTGCGTGACCTTTGCCGAAGTTTGGTAGCCCTAGAATGTAGTTGCATCCTCTTTGGCTTTCATATGCAGTGGCCGTGGTAGAGCCCACATAGGCGATGATGCAAACGCGTAGAAAGTACCTTGCTTTATCAAGCCTCTTCAAGCATCCTGATGTTTGACTTTCCCACTGCATTGCTTGTCTGTAAGCACGCTCCCGCGAAGTGCCGCTCACCCTAACAGCTCACACTGACAAGAATCAAACCAATTTTACCAGCTGTGTTGGCCTTCTAGCGCTGTCTTGGTGCGGTCTTCAGTTGAGGAAATACGATCCTGTCAGCTACATGAGAACATCAAGGCCTTCACTTGGCGTGCTATGGTGCTACGTTTCTCTCAAAGTCTGCGTCAACTGAGTGAAGCAGATAAAGAAGTATAAACACGACGGCTGAAGCTTGAGACAAGACGAATACCGGTCCTCTCCTCACCAACCCCCACCGAGGGACTTGATAATACTCGCTTATCTTAGTCCATGGTGCTGGGTGCTGCTGGTTGAATGGAATCGGCAACGCGACTGTCTTCCTGACCCGTTTCAAGTGCGGACGCGCTGGATATCTATGGATGCGCTTGACAGATGATGATACTCATGTTGAGTAACTCAACACCCATCATGTGATAAAGAATGGGGAACGCAATTGGAGATGCATGACATTTGAATTGCCATCAACCCCAGCGGGGATTCAACTCCTTTTCTCCCGCCCCCTTGCGGAGAGAATCAAATTCCCAACGGACCCCGTTTCAATGCGACCAATTCTCCGTCCTAGTTCGCCCCAAACATCCCCGTACGAAACAATTCCCCTCGTATCCCCATGTGAGAGGGGGCCGCTTTCACCTGTCACCGCACTACCCCGCCGCACCCATGTGAAAGCGGAACTATTTCCCGCACCCCGGGCAGCAGGCTTGCGTATTCCGGATGGACCCTTCTCCCCCTCCATCGACGCGCACTTGTTGCTGATTACGGATACAGTTTACACACCGCGAATTTCCTGCTCCAGGGTCTTGCAGAATGGGCTCACTAGCCAGGCAGCAACCAGCGCTTATTTGGCAGGGGCTCCATAATTGCTCCATAAACTCCCCGATACTGCTCTCCGGATTGTCAGGCCTCGCCCCCAAAGGCCCCAAAAGGCCGTACCCCATCATGCGAAATATCGGGGCAACGCAATCCTTTGAGACAGTAACGCCGAAGAGCTTCAATGCAGCCATTCATTAAATGCGAACGGGCCAGTCGGGTCTGAAGAATCAAGGGTTCTTGGTTTATCTACACTACTCTTGTACTGATCTACTAGTGCGAAACAGGTACCGGGCCAAAAAGCCCAGCAAGATTGCCACGCTCTGCTGACCGACAGATAGCCCACACCGACCTTTCCTCTACAGCTTGGATGTTTTGATCTTTTTTTAATTCGTTACATTATGAGCTCGTAAGACTTTGGAGGGGCTCTGGTATCATAATCATGCCTTGGTGATGAACATGGACTGGGCGTTGCAGTACGCCTTCAGGCCGCCGGCGCCGTACTCGTATCCGATACCGCTCTGCTTGTGGCCGCCGAAGGGCGCGTCGTACTGGAGCTCCAAGTGCGTGTTGATCCAGACGTTGCCGGCCTTGAGCTTCTTGGCGATGGCCTGCGCCTTCTCGAGGTCCTTGGACCAGACCGAGGCGCCGAGACCCATGTCGGTGTTGTTGGCGCGCTGGATGACTTCCTTCTCGTCGCTCCACTTGAGGACGGGGAAGACGGGGCCTGCGTTGGTCTTGCATTAGTCGCTGGACAACTTTCGTTTGGCGAGATGAGTGGAAGATGGCAAACTTACCGAAGGGCTCCTCAACGACAATGCGAGAGTTGTCGGGAGGGTTGTCGACCATGGTAGGGGTAATGAAGTAGCCCTTGCCGTTGGAGGCAGGGGCCGTGGAGCCAGCGGCAAGCTTGTGCTTCTGCTCCTCGATGTCCTTGAGGAGGTCCTTGACGCGCTCGAACTGCATCTGGTTCTGGACGGGGCCGAGCATGGTGCCCTCCTGCTGGCCGTCGCCGACGGGAAAGCTGTTCACGACGTTGGCCATCTCGGCGAGGAGCTCATCGTAGATGGACTCGTGGATGTAGATGCGCTTGATAGCGATGCAGACCTTGCAGTGATCATGTTAGCAGCTACCCAAACGGACCTTCTGCAGGGGCCGATCGGATCCTGTCAGACGCCAAGTCTTCCAACATACCTGTCCAGAGTTGTACAGAGCCAGGGTGACGATCTTAGGCGCAACCGCCTTGATGTCGACGTCAGGGAGGACGATAGCCGCGTCGTTGCCGCCGCTGTGCGCTCACGAGTCAGTATTCGGGACTTTTTTGCCTGCCCGGCAACAAGGTTGCGGGCTGCAATTTAGCTGCGTTGCGGGAATTGCTCCACTCACAGCTCCAGAGTGACGCGCTTGAGCGTCTTTGCGCAGCTCTCCATGACGCGCTTGCCCGTGGCGGTCGAGCCCGTGAAGCTGACCTTGTCGACGCCAGGGTGGGAGGTGAGCCAGGGGCCGAGGTTGTCGTCGCCGCTGAGCGCCTGGAAGACGCCGG